TAGACTGAATTGGCTAAACTGTACATGTATACTCTCCCAATGTACATCTGAATATGCAGATAGGCAAACAAAGTCTAGTTTGTATTTGAACAAGGCAACAATCTTTTGTTTTCTGAGGTTTCATCAGAAATCTTCATGTAAATCAGAAGACAATTTGAAACTCCATTTTTCTTTTTTTTAATCTTTTTTTTTTTTTTTTATCAGTACCAGGGATCGAACTCTCGACCATGTGCTTGCAAGGCAGGCACTTATGCCGCTGAGCTAAATCCCCAGCCCCTGAAACTCCATTTTTCAAATCAAAGCACTTAACAGGAAGAATTTTTTTTATTGCAGAGATTGCTGTAGAAAGCAAGATTTTTGGTTAAGACCTGACAGCTCTACAGTGGAAGGCACCAACATACCTGTTATCAAAATTTCTCTTTTTATTCACCCACACAATATTTTAGTAACATCTTCTGAATCAGGAAATGTAACTTTATTCTGTTCTATAGAACAATCAAATGACATGATAGTGTACAGAGAGCCCTTCCCGGACCTTATCTCGGTCCAGGAAGTTTATATTTGTAATCTCATAGAAAAGTTACTGGAATTCTAGCAAGTTAATTCCAGTCTACCACTTCCAGTGCAATGCATGGCAAGAATAAAAACACTATTTGTAAGACATATTTATAGTTATGAGGAGCCAAAGGAGTCCTAAGCTCAGCAAAAATGGTAGTTCACGGGAACAAAAGGCCTTGACCCAGGGCCCAACCCAGATTTTATTAATTCATGAAGAAGGAAGTGGTTTGAGAATGAGTGACTGTGAGCTGGGCTAGGTAGGAGGCTCAAAATCACCTCTGCAATACGCAGAGGAAAGGATATGCAGAAAGAATCTGCATAACACAACTGAGATAGCAGCTGTTTGGGGGCTGGTGCTTCAGTTCTCATGTATAAACTTTTCTACTCTGGGAAGTCATAGCCTCATGTCTCGAGGCTCCATCTCAGTTGACAGCCACGGAGTGGTGGCTCTTCATCATGCCTGGCTCAACCATGATTTTTGGGAATCGTGGGGCAGGGAAACAGCAGTTGTCACCTAGTTTTAAATATGATGCATCAGCACCTCAGCCAGCCCTATTTACATTGCTTAGAGCCAACTGAAGGGATAAAGAAATGGCTCTGTATATATCAGTACATGGAGATTGGGTTAGGGTTAGCCAAAATGGAGATAATTGTTCTTTATTCAAGGAGAGCTGTCCAGGTGGTCCTCCACAAATGCATGCTCATTTGTGTGGTATACACAGACTAAATCCTGGTGCTACTTTTGACTAAATACTGGCATTTGGGAAGATGAAAAAAACCGCTTTTAATTGACTTGAAAGTACTTGCTTGTTTTGTCCTAGACTTGTGAGATTCAGTTTCCATATGTGTTTTCACATCCCCTTATCTACTGTGCCCAACCCCCAATTCTTTCCTGCATATGGTACAGTAGACTCCATCTTGGTTTTTACTTGTCTGATTTACTATGGAACTTCCACCTGTCATTAAAATAACATAGCCAGTTAGCATTTTTGTTGTTGCTATTTTTGTTTTTTGAGTCAAGGTCTTGCTATGCATTTCAGGCTTACCTTGAACTTACTATGCAGCCCAAGCTGGCTGTGAACCTGTGGTGAGCCTCCTGCCTCAACCTCTGGAGTGCTAGGATCACAGGAGTATGCCACCTGTAAGCCTGGATCATTATCATTTTCATTATTTGAATTCTTAGAAAACATCAACACAATGATTGAGAAAGTTAAGAATTAAATTAATGACATCTATCCCCATATGAAGAACAACAGTTAATTAGATGGTTAAAACTTGAGGTTAGAACTTAAATTACATACCTCAGAATTTGAGTTGCTGTGTAAGAAGAAACAATGGAAGATCCAGTATCATGAACCACCAGTCATGGACGCCAAATTGGCATTCAGTATTCAGTGGAGGCAGGTGATTGTCGTATTTACTTATACTAAGAACAGTATTGTCTTCAGCCTCTTTTTTCTTCCTCTTCCTTCTCTTCCTTTTCTTCCTCCCTCTCCCCCTCCTCTTTCTCCTCCTCCTCCTCCTCCTTCTTCTTCTTCTTCTTCAGCCTCTTTTTTGGGGCCACTATATGGTTCTGTATTTACCCCTCCCCTGATCTTCTGTACTCAATGAAAACCAGGACTTTTTGCACCAAAATGGGGGTTTTCTGGAATATGGAGCTTTCCAGAATGACCGCAGCATATCTGGAATGATTGCTCACCAAAAATAAAGTCCCTTACTCTTCCATTTCCACAGGTGAGAGCCTGTCTACTATTTTCAGATCTGCTTTTAAACTATAATAAATCATATTTAGTAAATCTTTCTTAGAAGTGTAGTCTGAGGTAAAGCAAATAAAAAGGGATAATCACATCTTTTTAGCAGTAGTCCTAAACAGTGCGTTTGGCTGGATATACCTGGAATATTCACCTCAAACTTTGCACTGTTGCTTGCTACCACTATTCCATGCCTTGTTTCTTCATCTATAGGAATAGTTGTGAGACTAACAGAAAGCTCTAGGAACTGAGCTTTTTTTGGCATGGTCTTTTGCAATTTTTAACACCTCCACTGTATCTACAAAAGATAAATGCATTCATTAATTCTATAGCATATTCTCAAAAGACTAAGAATGACAAGTTAAACATATCTTTTATTAAAAGAGTGATATAGTGATGCTCATTTATGTTTATAAAATACTTAACAATCATGTGAAGGCCAGTAAAGGTTAAAAAAAAGAGACAGAGGAGATGCAAAGAAAAAGAAGTTAGTAATTTTCTCCTACAGTTACTAGAAGTTTTAGTCAAGAATTGTTTACTACTTCTTTTTTTTTGTCTTTTTCGGTACCAGGGATTGAACTCTAGACCGCCTGCTTGTAAGGCAAGGCGCTTATCCGCTGAGCTAAATCCCCAGCCCCTGTTTACTACTTCTAAGAGCTGGTAAACTAATGTTAGTCATCAATAGACATTAAAAAGGTTTCATGAGCTGCCTGAGGACTGGGTATGTTGTTTAGAGGTAAAGCAATCCTTGCCTAGCATTCACAAGATCCTAAGCACCACACGCATAAGAAAACAAAAAAACTGCCTGCTGGGGCTGGGGCTGTAGCTCAGTGCCTGCTCAGAATGAAGGTGGATTCTGAATTCCATCCCCAACGCACAAAAAAGAAAAGAAAAAAACAAACTGTCTGCTCTAGATTCCTCTGACCTTAAACGTCAAATAGTCACCATTAAGCTTTAATTCTTTTTTTTTTTTTTTTTTTTGTCTTTTTAGTTTTTATCGGTACCAGGGATCGAACTCACGACTGCCTGCTTGCAAGGCAGGCGCTTATGCCGCTGAGCTAAATCCCCAGCCCCTAAGCTTTAATTCTGAGAGATAAGCGTACTATCTATTTAAAAATAGATTGTGGCGCTCAGGATGTACAGTTCAGTGGTAGAGCATTGCCTGCCACCCTGAGGCCCTGGGTTCAATCCTCAGCACCATTAAATTGATTAATTAATTAAATGGCTATTAATTGTATAATATGGTTTTATCTACTAATAGCTAATGCCCGCCCAAACTCAAAGCAACTACATAGACTTCCCATACTAAAGAAATAACATAATTGCCCTAATCAACTCATAGAGTTGTCTCCATATACATGTAAGATGAACATATCTGCCTTTCTTGATTTGGTTTCTTTTTTTTTTTTTTTTTGTCTTTTTTTCATTTTTATCGGTACCAGGGATCGAACTCACGACTGCCTGCTTGCAAGGCAGGCGCTTATGCCACTAAGCTAAATCCCCAGCCCCTCATATCTGCCTTTCTTAACGACAAGTGATTCACCTTTTTCACTGAGTAATAGGGGTTCTACTTTGGGACATCATCCCAGATCTCTCCATATGCATGAGGCGCTCTTCTGGGTACATACACTACAGTGTCAAAGCTGTAGTAACGTCACCCTGGAGGGATCGCATAGGCTCCCTACCTTCTCGCAGAAAGGAACCTGCTCCGGGGTCCGTATAGAGAAGGAACCCCTTTATCCATCGCGGACAGCAGCAGTGCCTCTCTGTACCGGGACCCGGGGGATTGAGATGTGCTCACGGGTGAGACCTCGAGTAGCGCCTGTCCCCGCTCCGGTGGCGCCTTCTCTAACCTGCGCCTTCTCCTGAGCAGGCTCCCACTCACGGGCACCGACCATTAACAGACGCGGGATCCAGAATGACCGCTTCCGTAAGAAATGTGTCGTGGCTACCAGTCCTTCAAGTGGCTGCTCCCGGCTGAACTTCTTCCTGTTTCCAAAGGGTCATTTTCCGAAAACCCAAGATGTCCTCTAAATAGTTTCACCGATTTTCCCGGGGAGGGCATATTCGGCAAAGCCTGGAGACATTTTTGCTTTTCATATCTGAAAGGAGTTGCTTTGTATCCGGTGAATGGAAAACGGGCGCAGATAGTGTACAGGACAGTTCCCATAAACAGAATCATCCAGCCCCCAAAGTCAGGAGTGCAGAGGCTGAGAAACCCTCTGCAACAACAAATGGTGAAGAAAGAGGGTCACCGCGCGGCGTCTGGGGGCCCTGTACCCCTCACGCAGAACTGGGAAGCCGGGGCTCCGGGCCTGAGCGGTCCCTCTGGGCGGTGCAGCTTCAATGCTCCTCAAAAACACAGTACTTAAAACCCCTGAGTATTCAGTGCTGCGAGGCCACACACCTGCGGCCGCTTTTTGCAGCCCGCAGGACCGGACTCCTTTACCTGCCTCAGCTGAGCAGCTACAGACCCTGCGCTAGAAAATTCACCATCTCACCCACGATGGATACTGAGCTCCTATGGACACTTTTCTTTCGAGAAGTTAGGAAAAAGAGCGCCTCCTCACGCCTACCCTTAAAAAGGGTACTCGCTTTATCTGTTTCCACCTCCAGAGGGTAACAGCGGCTGGAAGCAGCCTAGCCCTCCCGGGCATGCGCAGATTGCACGGCGTGGTGGGCGTGACTCGCCTCTGCCTCTGCCGGTCTCTTCCCCAAGCCCCGCTCTCCGTCCAGTCTCCGCATGCGCAGCTGGCCGGGGGCGGAGCTGCTACATCCGGGGTCTGCCGGCTTGTGGTCGTTTTGTTTTCTTGGCTGAGACTAGGGGCAAGTGAGGCGGCCTCGCGTGGCGCGACGCCGGGCACCTACCTACTGCACGGCCAGGGCTGGACGTACGTGTCTGGTGGGTAAGAGTAAGGGTAAGGGGGAGCAGCTGCAGGCTGGGTAAGGCACGGACCCTGGCTAACGCCTACAGGTCTTTGCCTCCACCCTGTGGGAAGCTGCAAACTGGGGCTGAGCCTCGCTGGACCATCCTGCCCACTTCCTGCTGTCCTGTGCCGGCGGCAGGGAGAACGCGACCGCGTCCGGGCTCACCAGGCTCTGACCGCAGCGGAGAGATCGGGAGGGGACTGCAGCCCTGTCCAGGGCATCAGTGCCCCTCTACTTTGGAGTGGGACACAGATATCAAGAGCGAATGTAACTGCCTGATGGATACACGAGAGAAGTGGCGGAACTAGAACTAGTTTCCAGATCTTCAAGTCCCAGCCTGGACCTGAAATTCTCAGAATCTGGAGGGCGGAGTTTAGGCTGCTGTGTGTCCGTACTCATGCAAAGAAAAATGGATTCAGGGCGGGGTCGTTGAGATAAATCGAAAATAAAAACCTAATGGGTTGCTGTTCTTAGGGAAGAACGAAATAAGTGAATTTTCAGAACTGAACTCAGCTTTTAATAGTTAATTTTCAAAACCGAAGGTAAAAACTTGCAATGGTTTTGGATAGTCATGATTGCTGGCTACAGAATAGCTGCGGGAGTTGGGTGTTTCTTGACTATTAGCAAGTTATATGGAATTCGGGTTTTTTCACACTCTGAAATAGAGATTATGTGGATATGTCTCAGGCCAGATCTTCATAATTGAGCTTATAGGAATGTTTTATGTAGTTTGTTAAAGACAATTAGGCCAGTTACGATAATTTAAATGGCAACGGGTTATTTATTTTTGGTCGGAGCTTTTGAGGAGATAGTAAAATAAAATGAGTGTTTACATAGAAATGACACCAAAGGTAAACTTGAAGAAGGAAAAACTGATGAGGTGGAAAGAAATGATGAAGGTAGAGTTAAAACCTCCAGTGCAGTGTCCTAATCTCGGTGGGAAGAACCACAGGTTCTATTAAAAAGTTCCCAAGAGAAGTAGTTTTTATCTGTGCTTTAACTCAGCCAAAGATTATCATCTCCTGATTGTATTAGTCCTCCTGAACTATAATATAAAGTTAAATAATTATACTCGGTTTTTTGTGGAATAACTTAATTTGGTAATGTATTTGGAAACAGGATCTGACAGTGTTTAGGAGGAGGCCAACTAATAGTTAAATTTTTTTTTTAATATTCGGATACCTGCGTTTGTTCATATTACTTAAATATACTTTCGTTCATACTACTTAATATACAAAACCATTTTTTTATCATTATCATTATTATTATTATTATTTCTTTTTGAGACAGGGTTTCGCTATGCAGTTCAGGCAGGCCTTGAACTCACTTTGTGGCCCAGGCTGGTTTTGAACTTGTAATGATCCTCCTAAGGCAGGTGTGTGCCACTATGCCCAAAACCATCTTTTAAGTTTAAAAAAACCCTAAATTCCAGACATGGTGGTGCATGCCTATAATCTCTAATTCCAGCATTTAGGAGGCTAAGGCAGGAGGATTGCTGAAGGCAGTCTGGGCTATATAGAGATGTCAAGGCTAGCCTGGGATACATAGTGAGGCTTTGTCTCAAAAACAAAACAAAACAAAAATCTAGAACAAATCCATTTTTTTGTTATTATTGTTGTTGTTTGAGACAGAATCTTACTGTGTAGTCCAGGCTGGCTTTGAATGTGGCAGGGGTCTTCCTGTCTCAGCCTCCCCAAATTGGGATTACAAGTGTGTGCTCCTACACCCATCTACAAATGCAGATTTTGTTTTCCAAATTGTAATGTAACACTTCATCAAAAGCTTAATCAGATAGTCACAAGAAGTATGTAGAGCTAAAATAAAGCAATTGGAACTTCTATTAAATTACTCCTGAACTGTTAACTATTTTCCAGGGACATAAACCAGGTGAGAAACAAATAAAGCAAAGTACTTTATTTAGGTCTTTATTTTGTTTTGTTTTGAAGTGACCTGAAAAAATGTCTGGATTTCTAGAAGGCATGAGATGCTCAGAATGCATTGATTGGGGAGAAAAGCGCAATACTATAGCTTCCATCGCTGCTGGTATTCTGGTGAGTGTTCAGATAATTTGCACCTTCATTATTTTAACTTGTTTCTGTTACGTATCTTGAATTTGGTGATGTTTTAAAATTGTACTTCTATTTTAATGTTTGACTACTGAGCTTAGTTTAATAAACATTTTCTGATTTTTTTTTTTTTTTCGGTCTTTTTGAGACAGACAGTCATTATGCAGGCCAGCCTTGAACTAACTTATTTTATAACCCAGGCTGACCTCAAACTCTTCCTGCTTCAGCCTCCCACAAATTCTGGAATTATAGGCATGCACTACCACACCCAGCAATAAATGCTGAAGTTTTGTTTGTATATATATTTGCTAATAGTTTGGAATTTGATTGGATTATTTTAACTGCATGGAAAACTGACATAGTAAAACATCATACAGAGGTTGTCTGTTTGTTTGTTGTATGGTTTATGCCTTCCTTAGTGAGTGCAGTAAGTTGGAGAAACAATCAGGTAAAGATCAGTCAAGAGATTTGGTTGTGTTTCTTCATAACCCAGAGTTAACTTCCTCTTTGATCTTATCAGAAAAATAACAGGAAACTCACAGAATTTTTTTTCTTTTTAATAATTTTGAAACAAGGCCTCCAGAGTGCTGTGACTGCAGATGTGCACAACCACATCCAGCTCCAAAATAAAATTCTTATTTACCTTGCAGAGTCCTCAAGGGGTCTCATACTTGGGTTTCATTGTTTTTTATTGTCTTTCTTTTTTGTTTGTTTTTGGAGTACTGGAGGTTGAACCCAGGACCTTTCAAATGAGCTATGTCCCCACCCTTTTTTTACTTTTTAATTTTGAGACAGAATCACTCTTAAATTGCCCATGCTGGATCTTGATCTTGTGATCCTCCTGCCTCAGCCGCCCAGTGCTGGGTTTGCAGCATGCAACAACACATTCAGATTGATGTTAGTTTTTTTTTTTTTTTCAAGTTCCTCTCCTGTGCCTTGGTGCTCTTTAATTTTTAATTTGATGTTAGTTTTTTATGCTCTTAGAGTGCCATAGATTCTAAGGAGTAAGTTAATTAATTAATTAACTACTTTTAGTGCCCAGAATTGAACCTAGGGCCTCACACACCTTAGGCAAGCCACTCCTGTTGGTCCCCAGCCCCTAAAGAGTAAATTTTTTTTTTTTGTCTTTTTTCCTTTTTATCAGTACCGGGGATCGAACTCACGACGTCTGCTTGCAAGGCAAGCATTTATGCCCCTGAGCTAAATCCCCAGCCCCAAGAGTAAATTTTAAGTAAACAAATCAATAAGAATCTAAATTTAAACATCTCCTCTTTATCGTATCTTTTTAGTATCTATGAGACTAATTATAATTTTCCAAAATAACAGCAACATTTAATGGCACTGTACAAATTTTGCTCTTACAAATATTTTTTGAGACTTTAACTTTTTGTCTGTGAAGAAAATATCAGGGTACTCGTAGTAGCCAGTTAAATGTCATTAACGGCATGTGGTTCTGGTAATTTGATTAGCTTAAAATAGCGTGTGTGTGTGTGTGTGTGTGTGTGTGTGTCTATGTGTGTCTGTGTGTGTCTGTGTGTGTCTGTGTGTGTGTGTGTGTGTGTTGAGACGCAGTCTTGCTATGCAGTTCAGGCTGGCCTTGAGCTCACTTTGTAGTCCAGGCTGATCTCCAAAATCAAAAGGATCCTCCCACCTCTGGCTCCTGAGTGCTGGAATTACAAGCGTGAGCCACCACCTGGCTCTAAAATAGCTATTTTAAAATTATTGCCAGAAAATGGCAATTTCCAGAGCTAACAGGGCCAGAGTTGGGGAAGGGGTTGCTCACGTAAGCTAATGGGACATTTTGGTAACATCATTTTCACTGTAAGTTTTTGCTCAGATGATAAATATTTGTATGATTTTTTTTTTTGCTTGTATATTCACCCTTGATAATCCAGAACCAAATTCAATTAAATAAATTGAATTAAAATCACATCGGATGCAATCTAAAGACCTCACTCTGCAGGGTATGGTGGTGCAGCCTGTAATCGAGCACTCTGGAGGTTGAGGTTTGAGGATCTCTGTGAGTTTGAGGCCAGCCCTGGCTACATAGTAAGTTAAAGGTCAGCCTACTCAGTGAGAGCCTGTCTCAAAAACAAACAAAAAACCAAAGAACAAACAAAAAATGAACAAGACTGTCCCATAATTCATCAAAAGTAAAAAATAGAGTTGTAGAGCTATTATTCTGCAACATTAAGAGGATAGCTTAAACACTGCCAACACTTGTACCCCATTTTATTTTTCTTCATTTTTAGTAATAATCTTTTTTTTTTTTTGTCTTTTTTCTTTTTATCGTTACCAGGGATTGAACTCACGACTGCCTGCTTGCAAGGCAGGTGTTTATGCCGCTGAGCTAAATCCCCAGCCTCTTTTTAGTAATGTCTTTCTAGAGGCTGCTATTGTATCATAGGGTGTTTCTTTAGTAGGTTGGAACTTGAGTCATTTTTTTTCCTGTCTCCATATTTCTAATTCACAAAATTAGATTAAAGAATTTATAGCAATATGAAATAAGAATTGAAGTAGGCGTAGGGTATCTAATCTTTAATGAACTTTTTAGGCATGGACAAAGTGTGCAATTATGTTTAAAGAATTTTGAAATTCATTGGAAGGAGCATCTTGTTTTAGATACTGTGCCTTTTTTTGTGGGGGGCCAATAAGATATGATATTGCTGTAATTTCACCTTGGCATCACCTCTTGTTGATTTAGTTTTTCACAGGCTGGTGGATTATCATAGATGCAGCTGTTAATTATCCCAAAATGGAAGACTTCAACCACTCATACCATGCCTGTGGAGTGATAGCTACAATAGCCTTCCTAATGTAAGTGTTATTGTTACTGACACTGTCTCCACAGATGGTCACAAACTAACATTGTTTTATCTATAGTTGTAAGGTTTAAAATGTTTAAGTGTTTAACTCAACAGATTGCAGATAAAAAAAATGTTTAAGTGTTACTAAATAGGATATGATGGGGCTGGGGATTTAGCTCAGCGGCATAAGCACCTGCCTTGCAAGCAGGCGGTCATGAGTTCGATCCCCAGTACTAATTAAAAAAAAAAAAAAAAGTTAAATAGGATATGATTTAACAGTGGAACAGTAGAGAAGAACAGAGAGCTAGCGGTCTTCTCCTGGTCTTCCCTGCAGCTCTCTTCTCTACATCTGTCTCTTTTTGTTTCATAGTCCAGGAAATTTCCTCCACTTCATCCTCTAACCTGTTGAATGTTTTCATTTCTAGCCTCGTGTTTTAATTTCCAAGGGCAAGTTCTTGTTTCAAGGGCCATATATTTCCTTAATTATGAGTGCTTTCTGTAGGGACCTGTGTAGTCTGTTTAACAAGATCTGTCTCTGATGTGCTGCAGGCCTTTCCCCAGGTATCTGGTGACCCTTGGTTACCCACAATTATTTAGAAAAGAGTAGAGGGAAATTGAGTGAAAGCTGTAATCCTGGGTCAGAGCTTCAGCATAGAGGAAGTAGCAGAGAGCTGGCCTTCCACACTGCGGGGAAAAAAAGGGCTTTTCTCTAGTCATCCTTCTCACTAGTTGCTGTAATTCTTTCCAGATAGTTCTTTCAGTTACTGAAGAGAAAACGCCTTTTACCCCTTGCCTAAAGAGAGTCAGTAGTCAACCAGGGTGCTAGAGGGCAGTTTGGATTAGCAGGCTGTATAAATCATAAATCGGAAGTTCTGTTGAAACAGTCCCTCTGAAGCCACTACGTGTGCCCTGTGGCCGCTTCCTGGTTTTGCATTGATAGAGACAGTGCAGCCCACAGGTCTGAGATGTTTATCTGATCTTTAAAGGAAGTTTGCAGACTCCCACGAGGTGGGGAGAAATGAGGTGGCAATTCCTTCTTCCATCTACAGACCTTGGGATCACCCCTGTGATATCAGCCCCATTCCCCACTCTGCCCTCCAGCACTCCCGCGTACCTGTCTGCTGTGTCCTGTCCTTGTTCCTGGTGGAAGGATGCATCTGTGCTGTACCCTTTCCATGCAGATTCTAAGTTCAGGACCTCTCTGTTTGAAATTTCATCTACTGAGGTCATCAACCTTTCTGATTTTTTTTTTGCTGTTATTCTCTCTCTCTTTTTTTTTTTTTTTTTTTGTCTTTTTGAGACAGGGTTTCACTGTGCAGTTCAGGCTGGCGTTGAGCTCACTTTGTAGCCTAGGCTGGTCTTGAACTTGCAACGATCCTGCTGCCTCAGCCTCCTGAGTGCTGGGATTATTAAGTATCAATATATTCAGTGAGATACTCATAGTATACAAATCGTGTGTGTGTGTGTGTGTGTGTGTGTGTGTGTGTGTGTCAATAAATTCTTATTTATGTGCATACCTGTATAAACACTACCAGGTCAAAATTTAAAATATCCCCTTGGGCTGGAGATATATCTCAGTGACACAAGTGCCTGCCTGGCAAGTGCAAGGTCCTGAGTTCGATTCCTGGTACCAAAAAAAAGAAAAAGGACAAAAAGAAAATACCCCTTCCCTGCAGAGTGCTCCCTTTGGTTCCATTCCCATCGGTCCTCCCTGCCTAAACATGGCCCCTGTCAGCAGCTTTCTGTAGATGTTTGACAGTAACATTTTGGGGTCATTTCTCTGAGATTTTCATCAAACCAGGTGAGCATTCTTTACATTTTTAAATTTTGCTACACTGACGAAGTGGCGTGTGACTAACGGGAGTGGCAGAGCAGTCTTCCATCTGGGAGCAGAGGGCTGACTTCTGTAGCCGTCTGACAGCAAAGGGCTTTTGTCTTTTTCTCTGAAGTTCAGCTGGAGAGCAGGGGTTTCTAACTGTTGCCGTTCTGTTGTAGTTTACTTTATTGTCATAATTATGCTGTTAGAACCCTTTTAAAAAGCTGGCACACGCATTTCAACATTGGTTCTGATTTGGAAGGTTTACTTTTTTTTTTTTGTCTTTTTCATTTTTATCGGTACCGGGGATCGAACTCACGACTGCCTGCTTGCAAGGCAGGCGCTTATGCCGCTGAGCTAAATCCCCAGCCCCTGGAAGGTTTACTTATCTGATATTGTTCATTTTGCCCTCCTTTTGTCCTTAGATTTTTTTTGGAGGGGATTGGTTAATTATTTTTTTTTTTTAACTTTTTATTGGTACCGGGGATCGAACTCACGACAGCCTGCTTGCAAGGCAGGTGCTTATGCTGCTGAGCTAAATCCCCAGCCCCAATTGTTTGATATTTAGATCTTTAAAAACTTACTTTGTTCCCTATGAAGCAGTCCCAGTGGTAGAGAGTGAATGTACTGTAAAGACAGGGTTTCCTGATGAACTCAAATTCTACTAGGTTTCTGATTCAAAATCATAGCAGACCTGATGCTCATGTTTTTATCAGTCGTGTGTCATCTCTTTTGGCTTCAGACTTCATGTTTCCATGGTGTGTCAGAGAAACCCCTAATTATCATTGAAATGGCTAGAAGGAAAAAAAAGCAGTTACTCTCTTGTTAATAACTTTTCTGTTATAAAAGTTCTAGGTATTTGGAACCTTTTTTTTTTTTTTCTTTTTCTCTTTTTATCGGTACCAGGGATTGAACTTACGACTGCCTGCTTGCAAGGCAGGTGCTTATTGCTGAGCTAAATCCCCAGCCCCCAGTATTTGGAACTTTTAAAAAGTAAAGGTTCTGGGTATAGGTCTGGTTTTTTAATTTTAAAGCATAATCTCTCCTCCCTCTGTCTCTGTCTCTGTCTCTGTCTGTCTGTCTGTCTGTCTCTCTCTCACACACACACACACACACACACACACACACACACACAAATAATAGTCAACTCTTCTCTTCCCAAACCGTTGAATCCAGATGGCTCGATCTGGGCAAAGGGTGCCAGGCTGCTCCAGCAGAAAACCAGGTGCACTGCCAAAACTAAGAGCAGAATAGGACACTGAGGCCCACAGGACGGCAGCCCAGGGTGCCTCTCAGGTCTGGGCAGGGTGAGGACAGAGGCCCAGGCAACCCTAAGGGGTGTGTAGAAGCCTGAGGAGGTCCAAAAGACTGTTCCTGATGAAGGGAAGAGAACATTCAGATCAGCTCTGTTCCCAGAACAAACAACACACTGGTACCCTAGTCTTGCTTTTTAAGTACCATTCTCCACTGAAAGAAATTAGAACTCTAAAGCTAGAGCTGGTACACTAGACCTGCATTAGGAGACGGCATCAGCTTGTACCTAAAAGCAAAGAAATGCTCACAGAGTGATGGGATGTACCAGAAGGACATAAAGGACATCTTGAGACTGAAGGATCTGTCATAGCCTAACCAGGGAAAATAGTATTATAGTATTGTGATATATATATTATATCACAGTATTTTTATTATATATTTTATTTAATATGCACATTTATATATGTTATATGTAATAATTATGTGTATAAAATCCTATGTCTAGTAAATATATTTATGTACAGAATTACATATGTACAGTATTTTGGCTGGAGCAGTCTTCCTGCCTCAGCCTCCTATGTACTAAGATTACAGGAATGTGCTGCTATGCCTACAGTTAGATTAGATTTTTTTTTTTTTGAGACAGCACCTTGAACACACTGTGTTGCACAGGTGGTATTGAACTCCTAGCAATCCTCCTGCCTCGGCCTCCTGAGTGATGCACTTATAGGTGTGTACCATTATGCATCACCACTATTAGACATTTTGGCCCGTTGAATAAAACAGAAAATCTGTGGTCTCTGTTGATATAAAACAAATACAAGAATAAAATTTGATGAAGAATAAGGACATTTACATAGATACAAAGCTTATAGTTACAGTGGGGGGAAACTGAAGAGAAAAGCCTTGTAGCTCCCGCCTTTCTCAAACATCAAAGTGAGCATCGCCAGCCGGGGACCAATCAGAACCTGTGCTGCTCAGTTGGTGGCACTGAGAACACTGTCACTTCTGTGCTATTTCTGCCACAGATGCATGGCCAGAATTTGACCATAAAGAAACATGAAACAAACCTAAATTGAAGGAAAGTCTTCAAAGTATTCAAAATAACCAGAAATGCTTTAAATCTGCTAGAAGATAAAGTAGGTAAAACTCTTGAAGACATTGGCAAAGACTTCATGACCAAAACCGTGACTGCATAGGAACTGTCACAAAGAATCAACCACTGTGATCTCATCTTATTAAAAAGCTTTTTCACAGCAAGAAAAACCACGAACAGAGTGAAGAGACAATTCACAATGTGGGAGAAAGTGTTTGCCAGCTGTTCCTCAAAGGATTACTATCGAGAATGTATAAAAAACAAATCAGTTCTCCCAAGTTTAAAAACTTGATCCAAAAATGGGCATCTGAGATGAATACACACTTCTCAGGTGAAGAAATACAAACAGCAAATAAATGTGTGAAATACTATTCAACCTCACTGGTCATTTGAGAGATGCAAATTAAAACAATCAGATTTAATGCAGGACACAGAAATTTACAAGATTGGCCTACAGTCATACGCACAAAGTTGAATGTAGAAGAGAATAAAAGATCTATCCATGCAGCAGAGATCCAAGAGCTCTGGCTGGAGACCTGGAGCCCACAGCGGTGTTCCCTGCGTGTTCGCATCTGGAGGCCAAAGGGTGCATGATGGAAGGCTAAAGGGTCTGTGCCGGGAGGTCGAGGGTTTGGTGCTGGAAGCTAAAGAATCCTCACCAAAAGCCCAGAGATGATGCCCAGAGGGAAGATGATGCTCCTCCAAAGAGAACGGGACATCCTCGGTGACAGCAAGGACATAGCTCCTCCAAAGGGAACAACTAAAATCCTTCCCTCCTGTTCTCCTTTTTTACTGTTCAGAAAACAATCCTCCTTAAATTGGGTTTTCACACCAGAACTAGGGCTGGGGGTTCCCAACTCAAGTTGACAGTTAACCACCACAAGTAATTATGAGTCTTTAACAATTTTGTAATTGACATATAATAATTGTACATGTTTATGAGGTACAGTGTCATATTTCAATACATATATACATTGTGTAATGATCAGATTAGAGATATTTGTCTCTTCAGAGAGTTAATCATTTCTTTTTTTTTTTTTTTGGTGGTACCAGGGATCGAACTTATGACCTCATGCTTCCCAAGCAGGCGCTTATGCCCCTGAGCTAAATCCCCAGCCCAAGTTATCATTTCTTTGTGACCATGCAGCTTTCTCTCTGTACTAGCCATCTTTAAGTATCAAATTAATTGTTGTCACTCATAGTTGCCCTGATCTGTAGAACGTCAGAAGTAATTCTTCCTAGTTGGGAGGCTGATGCAGGAGAATCGCTAGAAGTTTGAGACCAGCCTCAGCTACTTAGTGAGTTACCGTCAGCTTAGACTACATGGTGAGACCCTACCTCCATTCCACCACTGCTACACGTGGTGCCTGCCTGTAATCCCAGCAGGCAGGGCGATTGCTGTGAGTTTAAGGCCAGCCTGGGATATACAGTGAGTTCAAGGGCAACCTGAAGTACATAGTGAGACCTTGTGTTAAAAAAAACACAAAAGACAAAAACCCCTGCCATCACCACCACCACCCTAAAAAAGAAAAGATTATTCTCTCTGTCAACTGTTTCCCTTTACTCATTAATGATCCTGTCTTTATTCTCTGCCCATCCCCTTCCTGGGCTCTGGTAACAGTTTTTCTCCTTTTCACCTTTGTGAGATCAACTTTTTTTTTTTTTTTTTTTTTAATCGGTACCAGGGATTGAACTCACAACCACAATGAGATCAACTTTTTGGTGAACGTTTCTTTTTCTGTGCCTGACTTATTTTGTTTAACATAATGTCCTCCAGTTCCACCCAGGTCACTGCAAGTGAAAGAATTCCCTTTTGTATGACAAGATAACTTTCCATCGCACGTGTGTGCACAACACTTTCTTCTAGGTTGATTTCCTGCCTTGGCTTTTGTGAATGGTGCTGCACTAAACAAGGGTACAAGTGCAGATGCTGCACTGATTTCATTCCTCTGGGTGTGTATCCAGGTGTAGAAGTGCGGATCATGCAATAATTCAGTTTTCTGGAACATAACAGAGTACGCAAATCATTCTAGAGCTTAGATTTGCATGAATAAGATTTTGTATTTTTGTGACAACTAGGGCTCATACATTCAACACGTTTATTGAGCACCTGCAATTGCTAAATTTGTGCTGGGCACTGAGAATAGAAATGTGGAACAAGATAGGCATGGCCCTGCCCTCATGAAATTTATTACACATATATATTTTAAAAACCAAGTGGGTATATATAAAATGTAGATAATATTTTATAACTTCAATTTGACATATTGTCAACATTTTCCCCATCAAAGTTAAAATTTTTCAAAGAAGGTAAGGCAGGTGAATATAGTGGCACATGCTTGTATTCCTAGAACTCTGGGAGGCTGCAGCAAGAGAATCTCACGTTCCAGCTCAACCTGGACAACTTAGTGATTTATCAAGACCTTATCTTAAGGGGCTGGGGATTTAGCTCAGTGGCATAAGTACCTGCCTTGCAAGTGTGTGGTTGTGAGTTCGATCCCCGGTACCGATTTAAAAAAAAAAAAAAAAAAAAAAGACCTTATCTTAAAATAAGTAAGTAAATAAAAAAGGCCCAAGGGTACAGCTCCATGTGAGGACTATGGGTTCAATCCCCAGGACCACAGTAGAAAAGGAGAAAGCAAGGCCATTTAGAGCCTTGCTTTTAGAGCATGTATCAAAATTTAAAAAGGATTTTACCACCTGAGTCTGTCTTAGATCTTCTCAGGTTAAAAGTTACTGTTTTTTTCAAAATAATGATTATTGCTTCAAACATTGGACATGAATGCAAATTGTTACAAAGAATCATTTCCTAGCCGGTGTAAGTAATTTTGATTCAGCTGAGGCCCATTGCCTCTCCGCTGTTGCCACCCATGGCTCTGAGTTGAGAATGTCTTATGTGTGCAAATGGAAAACAAAACATTAACAAGATAAAATTTTGAGAATTTCATGTGTCAGTTTCAATAAGCAACAAAATCACCTGCGTGACTTTAGAGCTGGGATTTCTGGGCTCCAAGTCCAAAAGTTCTACTTGGCTAGGCTTAAGGCAAGGTCACAGCATTTTCAAACAAACTGCCCAGTGATGCTGATGCTGCCAGGCCCGAAACCACAGCCTGAGAAAGGGCTTGATTGAAGGGATTTGCTTCAAGTCGCGAGTCATGAGGCTTATCCTTGGATTTGGGGAACCCTAACTGCTTATGTCTGACACTTAGATGTCTTAGACAGTTTCTTGCTGGTATCACAAGCATGCACTACCCTAATTCGTGGTTTTATTTTGTGCATACAGGATAAATGCAGTATCGAATGGACAAGTTCGGGGTGATAGTTACAGTGAAGGTTGTCTGGGTCAAACAGGTAAGTAAATGCAAACAATATCATACAGTCCATGTTTTTGTCCTTAAAATGAGAATTATATGTGGGAAACATTTGTCTTCACTCCTTCAAATTAAGCATGAGATGAAGTGATATCCAGAGCAGAGATTATGAATTCCAAGGCAGAAAGTCAGAGTCACGTATGATCACTGGGCTTTGTGGCATACACCTGCAATTCCAGCATTTGGGAGACTGAGGCAGGAGGACTGCTATGAGTTCGAGGTCAGGCTGAACTGCATAGTGAGACCGTGTCTCAAAAAAGAAGTCACATATGATGAAAGTTGTCTGTACAGTGCAGAGTACCAGCCAGCGATGAGTGTATGACCTTGTTAAAGGTCAAGCACTGAGAAAGTGCCTGATTGAAGGGATTTGCTTCAAGTCAAATCCCTTATCTACAAGATACAGTAGAGAGCAGTAGATGATGATACATGTGCAACATGTGTACCGTATGAGTTTTCTCCTTGTCTCTGTAAATGGTATTTGGCTGAACTAACATTTGAAATAGTTAAAAAATCATAGCTGGGCATGGTAGTGCATGCTTGTGATCCAAGCACTTGTGAGGCTGAGTCAGGAGGATCGCTGCAAGTTTTGAGACTAGCCTGGGGTACATAGTGTGTTCAAAGCCAGTCTGAGCTACATAGTGAGATGCTGTCTCAAGAAAAAAAAAAAATCATAGAATAGTTTTTCAATGTGGTAAAATGCACATAACATAAAATGCACCATCTTGGGCTAGGGATTTAGCTCAGCGGCATAAGCGCCTGCCTTGCAAGCAGGCAGTCATGAGTTTGATCCCTGGTACTGATAAAAATGAAAAAGACAAAAAAAAAAAAAAAAAAAAAAAAAAAAGGGGCACCATCTCAACCACTTTCACAGGTACAGTCCCCAGAACTCTTTCCACCTTAAAACCACAGTCGCCGAGTTTTGGTGCCTGTCTCATGCAGCCGCCTCTTTTCCTTCCCAGCCAGGAGCTCTGCCCTGGGCTCTGTAACCGCGCACCAAAGGTGAGCAGGCTGCAGGCTGCACGGCACAGCTTGCCAGAGCCCCGTGTACTCAGCAGTTCGATGAGGGCAGACACTGATTAAGCAGTTCAAATGATGGATAAACATTATGTCTACATAAAAATAAACCTCAGTATAGACAAAATTTCAAAGTGACTTTTTTATTAAAGCAGGAGAAAAAACACAATCATAATCTTGTGCACTCCTAAAAGAAGGAAGAATAATAGCAGTTAGCATTATAATGTGTTAGTAGTCAGGGGCAGGGCTAGAACACGGCCATCGGATTCCTGAATAAAATTTGTTAGCTGACACGCTTTGGGGGCGAGGGAAAGATGTCGTTACTTTGATACCACATCTGTCGGTAACAGTTTATTATTTAAGAGCTATTTATGTTTTGAATATAAAATAATATGTAATCTGTGAGGTTTTTTTAACTAAAATACATTTGTGCTAATTAGGTAGACTATTTCAGTATTCATTTTTAGGCAGTGTAATGGCTCCATTTTTTATTTACAGCAAGTTTTCATAGGTGTCTCGTCAAGGCAGTTTAAAAGTTGATCGTCTTTCTCTGTAAACTTAATTTGAGTGCAGCTTTCCTAAGTGGCAACCATGGTACATTTGAATTTACTTTCTGAAAATAAAAAATTTAAAAATAAATAAATAAAGATGCACTTTAAAAATGAATTTACTTTCTGATTAGTTTTTTTTTATTGCTCTCTCACTGAGTATGAAATGTTTGTTGTTACCTGGTTGAGGTAAAATCTCGGTCCTTCTGTGCGCTCAGCAAGTTTTCCACCTAATTACATTCCTGCCACTAAAGTGGGAATTATTGGGTTGGGGTATAACTCAGCGGCACAACGCCTGTGTGGCAAGCATGAGGTCCTGAGTTCAATTCCCAATACCGAATAAATAAATACAAATAAAGTGGGAGTTGTTTTGTTTTTTGGTGCCGGAGATCAAACCCATGACCTCACATTTGCCAAGCAGGCACTTATACCGCTGAGCTAAACCTCCAGCCCCTAACATGGGAGTTTAAAAAAGTATGTTACCATTTGAAAATACTTTTGATCGTCCTGAGTCACGGCACCAGAAAAAAAAAAAGAAAGAAAAAGAAAAGAAAAGAAAAGAAAATACTTTTGAGGGGGGCTGGGGATTTAGCTCAGAGGCATAAGCGCCTGCCTTGCAAGCAGACAGTCGTGAGTTCGATCCCCGGAACCGATAAAAACGAAAAAGACCAAAAAAAAAAAAAAAAAAAAAAAAAGAAAATACTTTTGAGGAACCAAGGATGCAGCTCACTGGCACAACACCTGCCAGGCAAGTGGGAGGTCCTGAGTTCAATTCCCATTTTGAGAAAAAAAGAATACTTTTGGAGGATTTTAAACTTTGGAGCACAAGGTTTTTTTTCTTGTTTCTTGTTTTCTGTTTTGCATCTGTGTGTGTGTGTGTGTGTGTGTGTGTGTGTGTGTGTGTGTGTTGGTACCAGGGCTTGAACCGAGGGTCTTTGTGACAGGGTCTTACTAAGTCATTAAGGTGCCCCGGATGGGTTCAAACTTGTGATCCCTCTTTCTCCGCTTTCCAGAGTGCTGGGGTTACAAGTATGTGCTGTCACACCTGACTTAGAGTACAGTTTCTAAAAATAAGTGGACCCCAAGCTTCTAACAACAGTGAAATTATATGTTATAAAGTATTTTTTATTTGTTTGCCCATTTTTTTTCTTTCTTTCTTTTTTTTTTTGTCTTTTTCCTTTTTATCGGTACCAGGGATCGAACTCACGACTGCCTGCTTGCAAGGCAGGCGCTTATGCCGCTGAGCTAAATCCCCAGCCCCCAGTTTGCCCATTTTTTTGAGACAGGGTTTCACTATGTAGTCCAGGCTGGCCTCAGACTTGCAGCGATCCTCCTGCCTCAGCCTCCTTGGTGCTGGGATTATAGGCAAATGCCTCCATGCCTAGCTTGTTATGAAGTGCCTTATGGCAAGACTCAGTAAAATTTTTCTCAGTGTAGGTAATTGGGAAAAGTACATATATGCACTTAAAATATGCAGGCCAATAAATGATAATTTTTAGAATTGCACATTCAAGCACACAGACAAACCAAGAAAAAAAAGACCAACACCTGCACTGAACAAAGATCCTTGCCCAGTGTAGTGACACACACCTGTGATCGCAGTACTCAGGAAGCTGAGGCAGAATTGCTATGAGTTTAAAGGTAGCCCGGACTTCATAGGACCCTGTCTCAAAAACAAACAAAAAAGATCTTTAATGCATTTTCTTCTACTGTTCTTACTTTAGATCTTAGTTTTTCTGTGTGGAAGGCAGACTGAACTGAGTGCTGCCCCAAGAGAAGCAGTTCTGGTAAAATGTTATTTCTTTGAAGGTGCTCGCATTTGGCTGTTCATTGGTTTCATGCTGGCCTTCGGATCTCTGATCGCATCTATGTGGATTCTGTTTGGAGGTTATGTTGCTAAAGGTAAGAGAAAATACCAGTTATGGAGTTATGGCTTATTTCTATGGAATGCTTGAGGTTCATATTAAAGTTGATTGTTTTATTTTATTTTTTTAAGGGTCTCGCTATGTAGTTCAAGTTGGCCTTGAATTCACTATGCTGCCCAGGCTGGCCTGGAACTTACAGCAGCCTCCTTCCCCAGCCTGCTGAGTGGTGGGATGCCAGGCGTGCACCACCACACTCCATTTAAAATTCGGTTATTTTAGAATAAAGCTTTCTTCATACAGATGGGCCAACTACTAGCAATACGTTTGTATATGGAGACTCCTTTCCACCACCTGTGTTGGCTTTTGTTTGTTTCCTATGTTTTCAGCATTCTTTTCTTTGTTTTTCTTTCAATCCAAAACCTAGAAGGAATGGGACATTCAAACTTTGCTACTCTTTGGCTTTGAAAATCTTCTAATATTTTTCTCTAATTTATCTAGTTTTAACTTTCAGAATAGTATCCATGCAAAGTCCTAAGATCCTAAAATTGAAATTCATTCATTAAGCTTTCCTGGCAATATACTATCATCCCTTTTTAGGTAGAAAAGTACTTGAGGTTTTTTTTGTTTTGTTTTGTTTTTTTGCAGTACTGGGGATTGAACTCACGACCTCATGCTTGCCAGGCAGGCGCTTATGCCACTGAGCTAAATCCCCAACCCAAGTACTTGCTTTTTATATTACAGTTCCCTTTAGTTAAATTGTATCAGTGGTAGTGAGGTGACCACGTGCCACAGTGGGCGTGCAGAACTAAGTGTGTGAGTTGTTTTTTTCTAAACTAAAGCCTCAGTTACCCAGGTATAATTGCAGTGTGTTGCAGCATTTATTTACTTTGCAATAAATAAATAAGTAAGTTGCATCTTGGGCACTTGGACTCAACAAGGTTTGCCATCACTGGGTTATATCATCCGTGAGTTTTACTCCAAGATAGTGGAGAGAGGAGTTGCAGAATTTGCTAAAGAGAGTATCGGGCCACACAGGATATAGATCACGTGAGAGCTGAATGCAGAAGGAAGCCTGGAATCAGCCTTTTATCAACCTACACCAGGCCACCAGCACACCCTCCGCGAGAGTTCTCAGCCCGGGGGTCCCTGTGTCTCACCCTGCAGCCCCATTTACGCCATCATGTACAGTGAGATAACTTAGCTCAGGTTTACTCTTTTTTGAAGAAAATGTAACTTTCAGATTAAAATTATGTGTTGGCTGAATTTGTATTAAAAGTAGTTAAATCTGAGAGACAGAGTAATGGGCATTTTCAAATACTGTACAAATATATAAATAGTTTTCTTTGCTTTTGTGACATACTAAAGTTTTGTTTCCAGAAATGTAGAAATGTAGAAAATAGAGAAAAGAAAAAGAAATGGTATTAACGTTTACATTCTTAAATATTTTAATGTATTCCTTTCTGTCTCTTTAATTAGGTTTTTGATATAATTATTATTTTTTTTTCTTTTTGTTTTTTATTGGTACCAGGGATCGAACTCATGGCCACACACTTGCAAAGCAGGCACGTATGCCACTGAGCTAAATCCCCAGCCCCGATATAGTTATTATTATAAATACACTTTGATCCTTTTTGTTTTGTGGCGTTGGGATTGAACCTAGGCCTTTGCCTCTCTAGGCAGGGGCTCTGCCAATGAGCCACACCCCTGCGCTCATGGCCCTTGCTTTTTGCATGTAATATGGAATTGTAAGTCATTCTCCTGCTGCTACAAAATGTCTGTCACTGTCATGTTTTTAAATAAATCATAGCTGGGTGTGATGGCACAAGCCTCTAATTCTAGCACTCAGGAGACTGAGGCAGGAGTATCTCTGTAAGTTTGAGGCCAGCCAGAACTACACAGACCCTATCTCAAAAAACCAATGTAGGGGGGCTGGAGATTTAGCTCAGCGGCATAAGCGCCTGCCTTGCAAGCAGGCAGTCGTGAGTTCGATCCCCGGTACCGATAAAAACGAAAAAGACAAAAAAAAAAAAAAAAAAAAAAATTGGAAAAACCAACGTAGGGCTGGGGATTTAGCTCAGCGGCATAAGTGCCTACTTTGCAAGCGCACAGTCGTGAGTTCAATCCCTGGTACCAAGAAGAAAAAAAAAAAAAAACTAAACAAATAAACAAACAGACAGACAAAAAAACCACTTTCTTTTTAATCAGGTGAATTGAATTGCATAGTACTTGTTCATTATATTATAGAAAACTGAGAATATAAAGGAAGTAAAAAGAAAATTACTGATCCTTTCCCAGACACATTTGTTACTACAGAAACTATTCTTGTAGGAATATCTTTAACTCATAGAATTTTAAGTAATTTTTATAAAAGCCACTGAGAATTATTAGCAGCAGATCTGTGATTTTACGTAGCTGCATTGATATAATGTTATACCCACTCTAGTTGTGATGTTTATTAATGTGGAATGGTAGTGAAGGCCTAGATAAGCCAGCTGTTATACTCATCAGATAAAGGTGTAACTATTTTTTTTTTTTTTTTGTCTTTCCTTATCGGTACCGGGGATCGAACTCACAACTGCCTGCTTGCAAGGCAGGCGCTTATGCCGCTGAGCTAAATCCCCAGCCCCTAGTTGTAACTATTTTAAGGTGAGAAAGTTGGCAGCCCATCTGTTACCGGGCCTTGGTTTGTCTCTAACGGGTACTCATTGGCAGCTGCAGCAGTAGAAGTGGATGAGAATTTCATCTCAGTCCCAGATAAGTGAGAGCGCAGTGTTCCTGTGGCCACCTTTGCCCTCCAAGTTGAGGCTGTGCCGTCTCCCCAGGGTGTAGGCCACAGCCCTGGGTGGTTAGGCTCCGCTCCCCCTCCCCGAACGCCAGCGCATTAGCAAACCCTGTTGACACTGCTGTACAGTGAATCCTGGCTCTGACCACTTTGTACTTCTCCAGTGCTGCTGCTGTTCCATCACAATGGTTTGCCTGATTTCCGAGAGCCACCTTGCAGGTTTCCCCATCTCTTCCCTTTATTCTCAGCACTGCAAATAGAGGGATCCTGTTAAAATATGCCAGCTCACGCCACCTTTCTACTCAGAACCTTCCAGTGGCTTCTCACCTCACTCAGAGTAAAAAGTCAGGGTCCTTGTATACATACTGCTGTCTTCTGTCGCTTGCTTTTCTTTCTTTCCTTCATGGAACCAGCCCTCTACTGTGCTTGCATGGTCTCACCACAGGGCCTTTGCACTTGCTGTCCTGCTGCTTCTGCCTGGCCCCTGCCCTCACTTCCTCCTTGCCCTGCTCCAGGGTTGACCTCTCATGAGGTCTTCTTGGCCACTTGTGTCAAGCATCATCATTTGCTACACTTCATATGCCATCCTGCTTTATTTTCTCTCTGTTGATTTTTCATATTGTCTAGCTCCATGAAAGCAGAATAGTTTGTTTTGTTTACCTCTGTGTCCTGAGCACATTGCACAGCGTTACCACACAGCGCGCCTTTAGTAAATACTTGTAAAATGAGTGAAGGGATCTGGCATAGATCGGTATTAGACTCTGTCACACTTATTACATCATTCAGTGCTCCCTGCAGCCACAGTTCCCCGAGACGTCAGTTATGCCAGGTAGGAAAACTGAGATTTGCCAGCAGGTATGAAATAAAATCTTTTGACATCATAAGCCTCTAAATATTGTCCTTGTTTTTACAGAAAAACCCATAGTGTATCCTGGAATTGCTGTATTTTTTCAGAATGCCTTCATATTTTTTGGGTAAGTTTGTTTTGCATTCTTCATCTTACATGGTTTTAACAATAATTTCTTTTATGTCTATTACTATATTTAGGGGCTTAATTTTTAATATATGGGTTTGTTGCCAACTTTGGGAATATATGTTAATTTTTAAAATTGCTTCCCCCCAATAAATAACTATGAATCATATTGATCTTGTTACATTACAAAGACAATGTTCATTTTAAATGTATATCTCTAATAGTTGCTTTTAATGGGAAAAAGAAACTTTCCTAAACTTGCTTTCCTTTAGATTTAATGCTTTCCTTTGGTGTCATTAGAATATACAAGTAGGCTGGTCGTAGTGACGCACACCTGTAATCCGAGCACTCAGGAGGCTGTGGCAGGAGGATCACCATGAGTTCGAGGCGCAGGGCCAGCCTGGGCTACGTAATTAGTTCAAGGCCAGCCTGAACTGCGTAGTGAGTCCCAGTCTCAAAAAACCAACAACGGAATGAATATATGAGAGAGATTTGAGCTGTGGAGGAAAAGCCTCTTCAGATTTTACCCTTTGGGTGCAACTGCAAATGAAAAGATTACTACAGCCACTAAAAGCCCAATCCTTTTATTAGTAATCTTCTCCCATGTTGGTTCTTCTTGGAAATTTAGGGTCCGCCCTTCCCCTAATGCCCACCTCTCCCGCACCCCAGCCCGGACCACTTCTTGTCCTCCGCCTCGGTGCTTACGGAGATGCTGCAGGTGGCCTCTGACAGTGAGAATCACCAGACGCGTCCGAGTGCAGGGAATAGGTCTGCTTGCTTCTGGGAAGCGTCTGGCTCTTGTCAGGGTTTTAAAGAAGGCTTTGAGCCAAAAACAGCTAGGCAATTACTGTGTATTATGAAACTTTTCCTTCCCTGTCTCTTCCCGCCGCCAAAGAAAAAAAGAAAAATTCCGAATCTACTTGAACCACTCTTGAACTACAAGGAGTTGTTCGTTTTAACAATAATGGATAGTACTCACACTTAATTTTACTTCACCAGGTATTTTTACCACTTTTATAAAATCGGTTTGGAAGTGAGAAGCATGTAAATTAAGATGTAGCAAGAAACACATTCTCTGGATTATTATTATTATTATTATTATTTTTATTTTTTGGTCTTTTTGGCACAGGGTTTCAGTATGCAGTTCAGGCTGGCCTTGAGCTCACTTTGTAGCCCAGGTTGGTCTCGAACTCACAATATTCTTCCTGCCTCAGCTTGCCACATGCTGGAATTACAGGTGTGTGCTACCACACTTAGTGTTGGATTTTTTTATTTTTATTTTTTTAGCATGTAATAAGTTTATTAAAGATTGCAGGGCAGCAGAAGGACAGAAAAAGCAAAAAAGGCCATTCTCTGAATTGTATCTTGTGTCTTCAAAGTAGTGGGAAACCTGGGAACTCATTGCTTTTTTTGTTTGTTTGTTTTTTTTTTTTTTTTTTTTGTTATGGGAACCGGGATCAAACTCATGACCGACTGCTTGCAAGGCAGGTGCTTATGCCACTGAGCTAAATCCCCAGCCCAGTCATTGCTTTTTATACATAAAATATTAGTAACCAACCAGGCATGGTGGCACCATCCTATAATCCTAGCTCTCTGGGCAGCAGGAAGCTCTCAAATTCAAGCCCAACCTGACAGTTGAGCAGTTTAGAAAGATGGAATCTCAAAACAAGACAAAACAAAGTTTATTGAGCGATTGCTATGTGCTAAACATCATTCTTAGTGCTTTTTTTTCATGCACACTCTAAATGAATCCTGATAACCATTGCTGAAGATTGCTCCATTAGTCCCCATTTTATGTGTACAACCAGGCCCAGAGGAGCCAGGGCACCTCCTTGAGACCGTGCGGCTCACAGTTAGATCCAGGTTGACTCCTTAGTGCAGGCTGTAGCTGCTAGGGTGTTGGAATTTGAAATGATTTTCTCCTTGTGCTGAGCCTTTAAGCAGTTGCCTAGTACCAGTTGTTTCCTCCCCGCCCTTTTCCCTTAATTGTAACACTGTACTTGAGAAACATAAAATCAATAAATCTCCTCCAGTTTTGAAATAAAATTTGAGTAAGTCTGTTAATTTTCTAGGGTACATGGCCTGTGTTATGAGAAGCTACATGTTGATGTTTTGGGTTTCTTCTCCTTTGAAGTTGCAAGGCTGAGAGTCATGCTTTACAGAATGATCAGGTTTCCCTCAGCTCCAATATCTCCATGGGGTCCAAGGTGTCCTGGAGGGGTCAGCCCCCTCAGCGGCAACCAGAGGGAAGTAAAGTCACAGGACAGGTAGAGTGAGAGGAGCTCCAGGATTGGGAGGGGCAGGGATTTACTGTGAGCTGCTAACAGGGGCAAACGGCTACTTCTGTGTCTTAATCCTCATCCACTCCAGCAAGGATAAAGGATAAAGTCATTTCCATTCTGGGATACTGCCTGTAGGAGAAAAGTTCATGTCACAGCAGGAGAAGCAAAGGAGTGAAAGAAAAAATTTTACAGGAAATTTACATATGTCTTCCAACAAGGGGAGAAGCATGTAAGTTCATACAGTAGTTACCACGTTTCAGAAAACCGTGGAAACTGATCACTGACTTATCATTTTCCCAAAATGTTTAAATGAATTAGTTTCATATGCAACGAGTTTGGTTAACTTTGCATTTGTTACCAACATTCTACTTAGAAACGAGTTACGTTACACTCGGCCAGTAGGCACTGTTGCCAGCACAGTGGAAGCAGATTGCCTACCATTCTGACTTAGAACAGTACTTAGCAAAGGTACAGACTATTTCAGAAATTGTTTTTGAAGAGGCAGCTGTAGTGCTGAGGTGACCCAGGGACAGTATGGGAGGGACTGGTCCTTTCCCAAGGAACTATTCAGCTTACATTTGGAAGTCGCTGTGTCTGTTCTAAGCTTCCTGGAGAGTGTCGGCCCCTAAGACCCAGCCTGAGTTTCTGTTCCTTTACAGCAGAAGGTCTGATGCTAAATAGAGGAGCAGAGCTCAAATCACCTTTTGAAAATTAACAAATTATCAAATCACTACATTTTTCGAAAAAGAAAAATTATTACACTTCCAAGAATGAGTATAAATGACTTTCTGATTCTGTTTTTGCTTTCATTTATAGAAAAATGCTCAAGTGTTTACCTTTATGAAGGCCTCAGAAAAGCTGAGCATGGTGGTACACAGTTGTAACCCGAGTGCTCTTTTCAGGAAAATCACAAGTTCAAGCCCAGTCTGGGTAGCTCAGCAAGATTCTGTCTCAAAATAAAAAATACAGGGGGGCTGGGGGTTTAGCTCAGCGGCATAAGCATCTGCCTTGCAAGCAGGCGGTCGTGAGTTCGATCCCCGGTACCGATAAAAAAGTAAAATAAAATAAAAAATACAGAAAAGGGCCAGGACTGTGGCTCAGAGTGAAGGCTCTGGGTTCAATCCCCATACTGGGACAGGTTGGGGTTGAAGACCGTAGTCTCCCCAGTACCAAAAAATAAAAAATAAAATCCCCAGTACCAAAAAAAGAAAAAGCTCTAATCCTGTCGTTTCCCATCTTCAGTTTTTCAAAGCTGTCTGAAGAAAAGATTAAAACAGACAGCTGACCAGCCAAATTCTCCTTCCAGCTCTGCTTTGTTTAGACTTTTTTTTTATTGAGCCAAAATTTGAAAATCCTGTGAAGCACAAGGTTCTGAATTCAGTTCCTGGTACCCCACCCCCATCAGAGTTTTGGTTTTTCTTGAAATACTGGATCTGACAACCACAGATCCACAGACAGATCCACATCCATAGGCCACGGACAGTAGCAATCAACTAGTCATTAGGTGCTGCTTTTAAACAGCTGTGTCTCTGCAGAGCCCTATTTCCTGGGTTGCCTGGGACTAGAACCAGTGGGGCGCTGAGAGAGCCTATGGGCGGCCTCTGCCCTTCACCCGCTGCAGGGACCTTGGGATTGGCCTCCATGGGCTGGCTCTCCAAAGCCTCGCTGCCTCAGCTCCCTAACCTCCTTGTCCCCTCAGCCCTGTCCAGCCTTGCGAGACTCTGCCCTGTTCTGCCACACCTCAGCTGTCTTCTCTGCACACTGCTGTCCTCCTGGCTTCTTGAACTGAAGGCTCGGAGACAGCTATAGCCATGCCCTCACCTAAACCCCAGATGTAAGCCTGGGCGAGCACACTCCTCACCTGTGTGTCTTTTGGGCTGTTCCTGGGGGCCCTGAAGAATTTTTTCTTTTTTCTAAGGATGGGATGGATCTTGCTCTCCTAGGATCAAAAACATCCTACCTACCTGAGCATGTAGGTGCCCACCACCGTAACCAGCAAGACCTTTTTTTGTTTTTCTTTTCTTTCTTTTTTTAAATTTTTGGCTATACTGAGAACGTGCTAGGCAGCTGAGTACCCTGTCACAGAGCTATATCCCCAGCACTGACCCTTCTCAAGTGTTGTTTCCTCTCCCTGAAACATCATCCTCACTAGGTTTTGTTCTTACCAATCCAACTCCTGTTTATCTATCAAATCCCATTTTAGATATCACCACTGTAAATTGTTTTCCAGCTTTTTACACAGAATGAATTGTCTCTGCGCTCTCTTAACATCGTGTGTATGCCCCTGTGACACAGTACTTAACAAAACTGTGTTGTCAGGTATAAGTCTGAGGGGAAGACTGTGTGCCTTACCTATCTTGTAGCCCTGGCACCTAGCACATGAAGACATCAAGGTTTACGAATGGGGTCGGGGTGTGGGGATGAATTTCAGAGGTACAGCACTTAACCTAGCAGCCATGGGTTCTGTTCCCCCCCCCCAAGTCCCCAGAAAAGACTTAATGAATTTGACAAAGTCAGATAATTCATAGTCTCACACTAAACATCGTCCAAAGTTGTGTGTCTTCTGTACTCATGCGTTAAGGTTTGGGAAAGAAGGTGGTAAACAGCACGAGAATCCATCTCTTTCGAATGGCCAGTTTCCATTTTGATACGTTCCATAGCAGATGTGTTTTATGCAGCTCACCATTGCTCTTTGTTGCTTGTTTCTCTCCATCCTCAAAAATCTCATGTACTGTCTTCTCTCAAAGCCAGGAAGTCATGTGATGTTTCTTATTTTGCCCACAGAGGACTGGTGTTTAAGTTTGGCCGCACTGAAGACTTGTGGCAGTGAAAATAGCAGAGTTCCCGCAGCCTGGCAGCCCTCCGAGGGGTTTTTTACCGCTCACTCCCAGTCTTTTGTAATGCCATTTTCTAAACCTACTTCTGAGTGCAGTCTCAGCTTCAAGTTGTGTAATGCTAAAATCATGAGAACCCCCTGTGTAAACAGCAACAGAATCTCTTGTGGTATGCACCTAATTAACTTATACAATGTTAAAGGAAATTGTTTCACATGAGTAACTTCTGGCATTTTATCATGGTATAATTTGTAAAAATAAAAGTAAAATACAGAAGAAATTACAGATTCATCAGTGTATTTGGTCTGAGGTCCAAAACTGCAATGAAAGTGCCCTGGAGATTTAATGTGTTTATTTCAATGTGACCTCTTCTCAAAGTGTCAAATGTAAAATGAAATATGAGCATTTTCTTGTTTTTGTACATAGCGTTTGAAATTGTTTCTCATTACATATCTGCATTTGGTTTGTATGATTTTACCAAAAATTCCGTGAAAGTTTCAGCATATTAGCATCTGAGGGTCTCCCGAAGGGTGGGTGAACGTGTCAGAAGGAAGAAGCCATGATTCAGCCACCAGGCTCCTTGTGTCTCCTCCATGGGGCTCTCTTCCATGTGCCAGAGTCAGGGGAGGGGTGTAACTCAGCCGTCACACGGGGGCGCTGCACTCTCAGGTATGTGTGCCTGCAGCTCCCAGACAGACCACAGGAGGCATTTTTGGTGAAAAGGAGACAGGATTTATTCAAAGCTAGCTTTGGAGGAGAAGCCTCATGTTGCCACAAATCTCTGTCGCCCCATGTCCAGGTGTGCAAGGGCTACTTTTATAGTAAGGAAGAGTGGGGGAGGGAATACAGTGAGACAATAGGTAACTCAAAAATTGCGTGGTCCTTCCTGGCCTTTTCTTCTCCCTCCCTCCCTTGTAGAAAGAAAACTTGACCTTGACTTCTTACTGCCAATATCTGCATTTTCTGTCCTTTAATCTGGCCTTAGGAAAGGGCAGGGTGGTTTCCACTCTAGGGCTCAGGAAAGTTCCAGTTTGCCCTGCCAATTTATGACTTGACACCTTAGTCTTATCTAGGTGATAAAATTTCTTTGTTGTTTTTACAATAAACTGGATTTTATGCTTTATTTTATCTCTGATCCAAACCACTAAGCTCTGTAGACCAGCAGGGTCTCTTGTAATTACACACATTAGCTAGCAGGAACTTTTACAGTCTGTTGCTCTTTGGAACACATGTCCCCTGAGGCTCCCAACGTTTGCAAAATAAGGTACACATACTTCAGAATTCTGGCTGGAAATGTCTTTCATAAAACAGGCTACAATTAGCCCCATGAACCACAGCTGTTATCTGATGGTTTCAGTATGTGGGCTCTTCTACCTGAGCCTCCATTTTCTGCCATACTGTTGGATTTTGAATATCTTTGGCCGTCAGGACACTAAACAAAGAAGTGACAGTCCTGCTGTCATCATCCATGAAATTGCTCCTGAATTTTTTTTTTTTTTTTTGCACAGACCCATAAAATGAAAATTGGAAGAAATCTCAGTAGTTGAATTCCAGCATTTTACACATAAGAATATGTAGACCGTGGAGACTTAAAATGATTTCTTCTAGGTCAGTACCAGTGTTTCAGTCATTCTAAAGCCATATATCTCCCTCTCGCTGGTGACTCCAAGTTCTTTCCCCACCCTGGGACTGGGCTCAGGAAATGCCAGCTGTTTTAGAAAATTGCTGGACGAAACACATGTCTGAAAGGACTAAGTAGAAGTCAATTCTTAGCTTTTTAAAATTTTGAATTATCTGCTGTGTTGCTGTAGGCAGGAGTTAACATACTTTATTAAGCATGCAAAAAAGAACTTGGCAGTTGGCTCTAGAATTGAACTGACAGTGTCTGCAAACAAAAATATGGGCTCCCCCCTCAACAGATACCCTTGTTGTTTTTGCTGTCTTCGGCCACCATGAACTGTTTGTTCTCTGTCATATGCCCCCCTTCCTTGGAGTCATCTGATTGTAGATTGAAACCTCTTCAAATTGTGAACTAAATAAACCTTTTTCCCTTTAGCTAAAGGTGTCAGGTATTTTGTCTCAGCAGTGAGGAAAGTAATTAAGACAGAATTTGGTACCAGGGAAGTGGGGTTTTTGCTATAACTATACCTGAGGCTGTGGATCAGAAGCCTTTGGGAATGATATTGTGGGAGACGTTTGGAAAGGCTTGGGGTTGCCAGGTGAAAAAGCACTGGACAACTTTAAGCTGTGCTGTGTAAGCAATTCTTGTCTGAGTTTAGAAGACTTGAAAGTTGCTAAAGACCAGGCTCAGAAGGTTTCATCTGAGAAGGAGGACTGTGTTGGCTGTTGAACTCCAGATGACGTGTGTTATGCTTCAGCAGAAAGTTTGTCTGGATTTTGCTCGGGTCCAGGGACTGCCTCAGACTGAGACGGGCCAAACACTAACTAATATGGCCAAAGAAATTTCAAGGCAGTCTAATGTTGAAGCAGTGGCAAAGCTACTGTTGGGGGCTTTTAGTTAGATGTATGTTAATAATCAAGAGCAAATTGTCCAGCAGAAAGATACAAAGTATTTTGAGTTTGGCCAGAAAGGAAGTTCCAGTAAAGCTATGGACTGCAAAGATAGAGCTGGGGAGATCTTGATTGCTGAGAAGAAATAAAAGGATAGAAAAGATGGCCTGAGGGCATCACAAGAAGCAGTAGAACGCCACCCTTTGCAGCCTCAAAACTGCAAAAATGAAAGTCCTCAATTTGAGAAGAAAGCCTAAAGAGCACCACGTTCCAGAATTAGAATGGCAGTGGCCTCACTATGTTCCAGAATGGTGACAGCATAGAGAATTTGTCCTCAGAATTAGAAAGTGCCCAATGATGCAGGCACTCAACCTCTACAGCCAAGAGAGAAGGAACTGGCTACTGCTCCAGCTGGCAGCAGACTTTGGCATCATCAGCATGGTGCTGGTTTAAGGCCTGGGAGACCAGGCAATGTGCCCCTGAGAGATCAGGGTGTGAAATGGTAAGTGTGAAGCCAAAGGTACAGTGGAGACCCCAGAAGTTTGGAGAAGCTGGGAACATGGATCCTCTGAGGAAACCTGCAAGGAGGAAGCAGAATGGACCTGAGAGAAGCCATGGGAGCTACAATCACTAAAAGTACCATAATGGCAGAACACCCAAGCCCTTTGGAGTTCACATCTTGCCACAGATGTTCCACATGGAACTATAGGACTTAGTGTTTGTTCTTCTGGATTTGGGACTTGCTTTGGTCCCATTCCTTTGTATTTTTCTGGAATGGAAATGTTTATCTTGTGCCATTGAATGTTAGGATTTAATTTTATTTTTATTTGTATAGGGAGTCAAAACTAAGAGTTTGCCTTAAATTTCAGAGGAAACTTGAGACTTGGACTTTTCAGCAATGCTGAAACTATTAGGATTTTGGCAACACTTAGAGATGGATAAAATGCCTTTTGCATGAAGGAATATACATGAGTTTTTGGGGAGTCAGAAGCAGAATGTTATGGTTTGCATCGGGATGTCCCCCCAAAGCCCTGTGCAGTCATGGGGTACACTTCTAGAGTGTGTGATTGATTCATGGTCCAATGCCGGGCTTAAGGGTGTGAGTGCTGCACCTGCAATATAAGGAATTTATCATACAATATGAGTCTTCCCCCACCTCCCTTACTTTTGCCCCCCCCCCCATTACTTTTGCTGTCTTCTGCAACCATAAACTGTTGGCTTGAGCCACATGCCACACTCCCTCAGAGCCAGCTGATTGTGGACTGAAACGTCTATAAACTAAATAAATGTTTCACCCTTTCAAAAAAATTTGGATAGCATTGTCTTTAATAAAGCTAAGCATTATTTAAAACTATTATCAAGTTGCCACTTCAACAAATTTGTAATCTTTTTAATTGTATCTGGCTTTGTTGCATTGTACATAGAGACTTTGCTGTAATGAATGTCACATACAAGCAGGTAGATGACAGGGAAAGGAAGTCGTCATGTTTCTGAGATCAGTAGTCTTGTTATTTTTGTGTGTTTTTGCTTAATATCCAACAGCCAAGTGAGGAAACTGTAAAAGCAAAGGAAACATGTTCAGTTAGTGCTCATAGACCACTTATACTTCTCTTTTTTGTTTTGTTTTGGAGACAGCGTCTCAGTATGTAGTTTAGGGTGACCTTGAATTCACTATGTGGCCCAAACTGGCCTTGAACTCATGGTGATTGATCTTCCTGCCTCAGCCTCCTGAATGCTGGGATTACAGGTGTAGGTCACCATACCTAGCAATCCTTATACTCTTAAGTTTTTTAGGAGATTCGTTTCTTTATTGAGCAGCTAGCTATATTCTGGGGCAGCTGTTTACGCTTGGAGATTTCTATGTTTGCTCTCAGGGCTTCTTTCAAATATGTGAGGCCATACCTTTACTGAAGAAGAGCAAAAAAGATGTACCAACTGACACCTGAAAGTTGGCTTAAAAGGAACACATGAACAGAGCGAGCATAAATGTGGCATCTACTCAAAAAGATCACAGTCACCCTGGCACAGAAATGTAGCAATTTTCTTGTGATTACAAGTATGATTCAAAATGAAAGCAAGGCAACTTGCTAAAGTAAAAACTGAAAATCTTGTAATTGGTTTCTCAAGTATTATTTATTCTTGATTATTTAATTGCCATAATTTGTACAGACTACAATGATTATTAAATGTCACCTTTGACATTGTCCTGAAACTTGTCGCTGGCCCAACACTGTCTTGCAGTTTAAGGAAACTGCAGAGCCTGGACTATACATTACACTCTTCAGCTAACAAGTGCTTTTCAACAAGTGCATTTGGTCCAGAAGTTTCCCTGACATAATTATATTTGCAAAATACTCAAAGAAACCTGTTAGGAGTAAATAAAAGACACTTGGACCATTCATTGTAAAAGATAAAAGGAAAAACCATAAATAATACTTTTTTTTGCTCCTCCCCTGCTCACCCATAAATAATATATTTTAATTAACTAATGTAAATATTCTTCAGGCATAATTTTTTTAAAACAAATTAATAGATTTCTTCTACTCACCATAAAGAAAACATTTAACTTGTTCAAGTGTACTTGTTTGATTAATAAAGTATTTTATATTCAGTTATTTAGTGCTAATCATTAGGAAGTTTACATTGTTGAGGCAAATCACTAGCTCTGACATTATATTCTTAAATTTTATATGCATACTTGGGACCTAGTTGAAGAGACTGTGGATCTTAATCCTGGTCTTTGTCTGTTCTCTCCCCCATTCCTGTATTCCTGGCTGTCATGAGGTGAGCAGCTTTCTTCTGCCCAACCTTTTTGCCATATTTCTGTCTCTCTGTAAACCTAAAAGCTATGGAGCAGGCTGATGATGGATGAAACTTCTGAAACTGTGAGCCAGAATAAATGTTTCCTTTTTTTTTTTCCTGTTTGAGTTATTTTCTCAGGCACTTTGTCACAGTGATGGAAAGAGAGCTAGTTGACACATAAACATTTTCTTTTCCTACATTCCAGTCTTTCAAATGTTTAGGGAGATTTCTTAGTTCTCCTTTGTGTCTTCGCTTTTGTAGACTGAATATGTTCTGAGTCCTTTTTGTGCCATATTACAGCCTGCCATTCAACATCATTTCACGTCCAGTAACTTTGTGCTAGAGGTATTTAGCTTAAAAATAGATAACTCAGGGGACAGGGCCTAAGACTCGGAGTTGGACTGGTCAGAAAGGAAAAAAAACCCAGCACGTTCACAAGGTTAAGTGTTAAACCATAGAGATCACTAGGCTCAGGAATGTGAACGCAAGCACAGGAAAGTGAGGATTGTAACTGATCCCCTTCTCCCTTCCACTTTGTTCTACCTAAAACACAGCAAGATTCCTGACTGCCCACAGAGTGCTTGATCCGTGAGTGGCTGGCTCCTGCATTCTGTTTCTCCACAGGTCACATCAGAGCATGGACAGTCCATACCCAGATTCTGTAAGGTAAGCCCCACCTTTACCTGTTATGGCCAGGACGTGGCCACCTAAACTTAAAAGACATAGATAAAGACGCCATTCAGACAGCCCTTTCAGGACCCCTCCCAACTACGGGGAGCTTTCTTCTTTGAGGGGACAAGGGGAGCTTGCTTTCTTGTACTTCCAGTAAACACTCCTCTTAACTACCTCCTTTGCTCGTGATTTAACTCTTAGACTTTGTGAGAAATCCACCCTGTTTGCATGGTGACACTTGAATCAAGAATCCTGGGACTAGAAGTCAGGGTAGCTAACACTTAGGGGTGTCTCCCGTGGATCAGTCAGTGTACCGGCATCTCACATACACTATCTCCTTTACATGCCCACAACTAACCAGTGAGAGAGTAATATCGGCATTGTAGAAATGGGAAAGCTGGGACTCCACTAGTGCAAGGTCATGGGGCAAAAATGGCAGACTGCAGATCTGGCTGACTGCAGAGAACTTGCTCTTAGAACATAAGATTTTGGCGGGGGGGGGGTACAAGGGATCAAACTCATGACCTAATACCAGGCAGGCACTTACGTTGCTGAGCTAAATCCCCAGTCCCAAGAACATAAGACTTGATCTCATTTTATAAATGAGGAGACCAAGCCCCAGAGATGTCAAGGAGCCTCCCCAAGGACTCGCGCCTACCGCTGGGGAAGCCAGGACCAGACTTCCTGTTTCCTCCCAGAATGGCCTTTAACTGAGCCTCACTGAGACTTTCAAGAGGTCGCTGGCTGTCCCCTAATCTGTTTTCCTACTATAAAAAGCTGACTTTACTCATTCTAGTTGAACAAGTAGAATACTCATGCTTCGTTAGAACTTAGGTATATGTCTAGAACATTTATTTAAAATCAGAAGCAGTAATAACCTATGTGATGCACAGGTTTTTAAAAACTGCATAAAACAGTAAGAGGAACAGCACATTTTATCCTTTTTTTTTTTTTTTTTTTTTTGCCAAAATAGTGGCGGTTTATATTTATTGACAAGAAAATCATTTAAAAATAAACTGCAGAGGCTGAGGGTATAGTTCGGTGGTAGAGCACATGCTTACAATGCACAAGGCCTTGGGTTGGCTCTCCAGCCCAGGGATGGGAACTGGGGTGGGGTGGTATGGAAGGATAACTGCAAATATTTACTCAGCAGCCAGAGTGATCTTCAGAATAACCCAGTCGTCTCAGAACCCTTCCTAATGTTGAGTCCTGCCCTTCAATTTAATGTGAAAACTTTCATTTTATCGCGTCATTTCCCTCCCAGAGCTCCCACTTTGAGAACTTCTAGTTGCCTGTAGGATAAAAGGCAAGTGCCTCTAGCCATCTTCCAACCCTCCCTGACATTCCCAATCCTTGGTCCTTCCCAGCAGTTACTGCGAATGACTTGGTCCTTCATAGTTAGAGATGTGCATATATAAAGGCCCAGTTCTCTCAGCCAAATCCTTAACTTAATCTACACGGTCCTCTAAACAGCAGCCTGCCTACAGTAGACTCATGTAAAAAAATTCCTTGCTTGACTTCAGAAAGGCTAATGAGAATAAATTTTAAAAAGTAGATGTCAGTGAATCTTTGTGCTTTGCAAAGCATGAAATAAAGTGTACAATGTATTAAGGAAGCAGTTTATTCTCTCAGGAAAGGCATAAGATGCATGAAAAAATGTGTTATAAAACTAAACTTCTATAAATCGGTGCCTGGAAAGGATCATTGTCAACTACAGGGAAACTGAAGATAGGTTTATCTGGCTCCTTGAATCCCAGAAATATGTTTTCTTTGTATTTGTCTCACAGTATCTCACACAACATCTACATGGTTAGATCATTCATGTAGTGAAATGAATTAATGTATTTTCATGAACCAGCCAAGGAAGAGATGGATGTCCTTGGAGAGAGCTGATTCCCTCGTCGCAGCAGTGCCACACACACAGTCTGGGCCCCCAGAGAAGGAATGGATGAGTTGGTTTTGGTTTTTGTTCATGTTATTGCTGCTTTGGTGCTGGGAATTGAACCCAGGGCCTCATGCAAGTGCCCACGCTCTACCTCCACCCTGGCCTAGCTTGAAAATCCCTTCCACCTCTGGTTGTCTGATTCTATGAAATGTAATAACATTCTATAGTGTTTAAAATGTCTTGTTTGGGCTGGGGATTAAGCACCTGCCTAGCAAGTGTGAGGTTGTAAGTTGGATCCCTGGTACAAAAAAAAAAAGTCTTATTGGATGGTCTTAAAAAATTAACAGTGGGTTTATCAGCTTTGCAAATTTAAATCCTTGCCTCAATAATGGATATTTGGCTTCCAAATGCAATCTGAAAAGTGGTAAAATGCTGAACAAATGGTTCTACTCCACTGCAAGAAAATAAATCAGAAGACTGCCCAAATGGTGGGGGGGGGGGATAACTCTGCTCCCGAGTACCTGCCCACAACACATGCGTATGTGGTGGTCTTTGGAGTCAGTCAAGCATCTGTTCTAATTCTTCCTGATCCATCTACTAGCTCTGTCATTGGCAAATTACTCCTTCACAGGCTTCATCGTCTTTATCTTTAAGATGGAGATACGTGTTCTCATACAAGAGTGTTATGAGGATAAAATCAGATAATGTTACAAAATCACAAACGGTAGGTTTGCGATCTGATAGCTGTTACACTTACGTATCCCTTCATGGTTGGCTAAATCCCTAGTATTAAGTTTCATGTTCCTGTGGTGATTTGCATTTTTCTAAGTATTGTTACAGACATTATTGCTCCATTTGATCTTCAAGACAATCCAGTAAGGATTAAAGATTGTTGTTTTGGTACTGAGAATTGAATTTGAGTCTTTGCATTGAGCTATAATCTTGGTTCTTTTTTTAAAAAATTGTTGAGACAGGGTTTCACTCAGGAGCTAAGTTGCCCAGGCTGGTTGCCAGGATCTTCCTGCATCAGATTTCTATTATTTCACCAGTGAGAGTCCAGGCTTTTGCCCACATGATACACTGTGGAATCGTGATCAGAATCAGGTATTCTTGTAGGTATAAACGTGTTCTAGTTCACCTGCTGCTGAGGTAGATGAGACAGGGTGTCTGAGACTTCCTTTATTTACTCAGCAGATGTGCATGGAAGCTTGAATACTTGAGCTAGAAATTTGTCCTGTGTGTGGTATCCCTTGTTGGTTAGCATGGAGCTCAATAAATACATGTGGAATAAATGAGTGGATTAACACAGCTCTCTGATTCCTCTCTCATTACCTCTGTGCTGCTAAAGGGAAGAGAACCCTGCAAGTTGAGGTGACGACACACGACAACACGACTCTCAGAATAATTATGCTAAGTAGAAATCACACCAAAAAGAGAGAGAGAGAGAGAGAGAGAGAGAGAGAGACAGAGAGAGAGAGAGAGAGAGGTACTATATGGTTCCATTTATAAAGAATTATAAAAAATGCAAACCAATCTACAGTGACAGAAACTAGTTCAGTGGTTGCCTGGGAATGGGACTAAAAGGGGTAGGGCAGAACAATTACAATTTCCAAAGCGCAAGGGAATGTTTGTGGGTGACTGATGTGTCCCTTGTCTTGTTTGTGGGGATGGTCTCCTGGGTGTGTAAATATGTTCATAAGTATCCAGTTGTATACTTTAAGTATTTCCAACTCATTCATGTCGATTGTGTGTCCATAAAGCTATTTGATGGGGAAGAGGAAGAAAGGAGTGGGGGATGCAGAAGAACAGATAGGTTGTCTCTCCAGGACCCTGGTTGTTCCCTGCTGGCACATGTGCTTAGGCCCATCATAAGACTGCCCCTCTGTGGTGGCTCACGCCCGTAATCCCAGCACTTAGGAGGCTGAGGCAGGAGGATCATTCAAGTTTGAGACCAGCGTGGGCTATAAAATGAGCTCAAGGCCAGCCTGAACTGCATAGAGAGACCATCTCAAAAAGACCAAAACAAACAAACAAACAAACAAACAAACAAAAAATACTGCCCCTCTGTCCCTTTTTTGTATCTTGGGTGCTAGGTGGGGAAAAGATTGGCCTGGAACAAAGGCCCAGCACCAGGCCTTGTCTCTTACACTCATAAAGGTACGATGCTAAGCTGTGGCCTGACCTCTGCACACCAGCTTCCTTTGGCCATATGGTCTCTGTATTTCCAGTCTACTCAAGGCATGGGTTGGATGATTACCTGAGAAGACACCTGTCAGAGTGCTTTGTGAGCAGTGAATGTAAGTCAAAGGGAGAGGCGAGGTAGGTGACAGAGATGAGTCATGGCCACATGCTACAGTGTAACACAGAGATCCTCAGGAGTGGCTGAGGTGCTACCTCTTTTTGTTAAATAACCCAAACTCCTATATTACAAATTTCCTTGTATCCACTGGCTTGCATTCTATATAGGTGGTGGTGTATGCCTCTAGCCCCAGAACTCTGGGATAGGACCACAAGTTCTACGTCAGCCTGAGGAACTTGACAACTTACCAATTTAGGAAGAATCTAAGTCTCAAAAAATAAAAAGGGTTTGGAATGCAGCTAAGTGCAAAGCTTTGGATTCAATTACCAGTTTTTTGTTTTTTTTTTTTTAAAGTCATGTTCTAGATTCAGCTTGACCACTTCCTGACTGAGATCTTGGACAAGTCACTTCTCCTCTCTGAGTTAACTGTCAAATAGGGATTGGACTCAATAGTGCCAAGTTTTCTTTCATTCTCTCCTCTTCCTGTCAGCCAGTTTGCCAACACTGGTGACTCCAGATGGGGAGGGCCAGTGTGACCAACAGCCTTTCTCACCACACAGAACTTCCGTGACCTTGAGTTCTCAGGAAAGTGGTGACCTCTATCAACTACCTACTCCTCACCAACACACACACCTTATGAACTTACTCTTCCCTATTGCTCTTTACTATTTTCGTTTTTGTTTTATTCTCATAAATACCACATTAGGGCTGGGGATTTAGCTCAGTGGCACAAGGGCCTGCCTGGCAAGCACGAGATCATGAGTTTGATTCTCAGTACAAAAAAAAAAAAAAATACCACATTAACATACATATCCTGAAATCTTTTTAAATTCATACATTCAAAGTCTATCACAGGGCACAGTGGCACAGTGCCTGCCTGGCAAGCATGAGGCCTTGAGTTCAATTCCGCAAAACAAAACAAATATCTATCATGTAAATAAACTAAAAATCTTACCTCCCAGAAAGCTTGATCATCAAAATACTTAATCACACAAGGCGCTTTCCATATTTTGAGCTTTAGGAGCAAACCTTGAAGTAAATGATAATGAACTGTTAAAACGTTTTTAGCATAACACTGTTGTGTCAAGATTAATCAGCATACTCTATGTGGACCACAGCATCTCAAGAGGAATCATTTCTCTTCCACTATCAAGAGACAGACAAATGGGAGCCCTGTCATTCCTGGGTCAGCCCCCATTGATTCTGTGGCTGTCTTCTAATAGGAAATGGCAAGAGCAATTGTTCTCCAGCATTCTCCAAAGGGTTGAAATGCCGCTGAGCAGAATGTATCAGCTGTCTTTCCCGAGACAGAATAGTAAGACTTGGGCAGATGGCACTCACGCCAAAGCGGGCGTGTTTGAAACACAAGAGCTACCATGGAGAGCGACTCTCAGGACTCTCCCACAGTTCCCTCTGCAAAAGCTCTGAAGCGGGCCAGCAGCCTCAGCTCAAGCTTCTGCTGCTGCGGTGAAGAACATCATTTGCAACAACTCGCACTTGTTTCTGCTTTTCCTCCTTTTTGTCCAGCCTCTGTCCAGGTAGCTTGACCCTGCACATCCCCTTAGCTTTGCAAAGTCGGCTGCATTTCCCAGGGCACACGACTGCTTATTTTTCATCACAAGCAGGAAATCTCTCTGTCTGTCTCGCCCCCCTCTCGTGTGCGTGTGCGTGTGTGTGTGTGTGTGTGTGTGTGTGTGTGTGTGTGTGTGTGTTAATAAAGTCTTGTGTTGCCCAGGCTGTGTTGCCCAGGCTGGCCTCAAACTCCTGGGCTAAGAGGATTGAGCCTTCTTGGGTAGCTGGGGTGACAAGCTTGTACCACCACACCCAGCTATCTCTATCTGTGTATTTAATCATGATGGCTGCAGCGTATTAAATAATAAGGTTAACCAGAATAGGTGCATGCTTAGTAAAATTCACATTTTCCTTTCAGAGTGTAGCCTTTGAATGATACTGGTATGCAGTGAAACCAGTAGATTTCATGTTGCTAAAATCACTCGGAAATAGTCTATCACCCCTTTGAATTTTCCAGATAGCTGAAGCTTATTCATCACTGATGAAAACTCATGTAAAATATGTATTCTGAGAAGACAACACTGTATATATTTAGAGACATTTTAAAACATCAGAATTGTCACTAGGAATAACTATTTTCAAAACATGCTGTGTATTGTGGAGAAATACATTGTGGCCGAGAGTTCTGTCCTGTTCACTCAGCAGCTTGAGCTTTTTGTTTTTGGGTCCAGTTTTAAGAATTTCTTGCCAGACATGGTGGTATATACTGTAATCCCAGCACTCAGGAAGGAGGATTGCTGGAAGTTCAAGGCCAGCCTGGGCTACAAAATTACTTCAAGAGCAGCAAACTCCATAGTGAGACCCTGTCTCAAAAAGATAAAAATGTAAAAAAAAAGAATTTCTTTACTTCTTTACTTTCTTTACTTCTGTCAAGCTCTCTGCTTTCCCTTTGGAATTCTAGCAGTGTGTATTAGCCATGGAAACTTGACCTGCCTCTGCTCTGCTATTTCTAACCTACCTGAACTAGAAAATTTAATAACCACCCTCAGAGGGATTATTTCTTACGTATGGACAGATTCCATGTGTGTGTGTGTGTCTGTGTGTGTGTGTGTGTGTGTGTGTGTGTGTGTGTGTAGATCCAATGAGTTTTAAATGCTTAGCTTTAAGGGTCAGGTTGGTGCTGTTTTGATACTGCAAAGTTTTTTCTGCTGTCCCAATTTGTATGTTTTGTTGTTGTTGGTGGTGGTGGTGTTCGTTTTTAAAGTGCTGAGGGTGAACCCAGACCTCACGCATGCTCAGCCAGTACTCTGCTGCTGAGCAGAGAACTACACTCCCACCCCTGTCTATTTGGAGTTTTCTTTTGTTTGTTTTGTGTTTTGGTTTTGTTTTTTTGTTTTTATGGTACTGGAAATTCAACTCAGGGCCTTCACCATGAACTATATTCCCAGCCCTTTTTTATTTTTGATTTTGAGATAGGATCTCACTAACTATTAACTTGACCATGCTGGCTAGACATTTGATCATCCTGCCTCTGCCTCCCGAAGCTGGTGTTAGAGGTGGGCGTCACACTGGGGCCAGCCCACGCTGTTTTGAATTACCCTAATGTCCGTGATAACATGTAAAGAGGAGAGCTCATTAAGGAAAGACTGCAGGTCACTAAGGAAAGTCTGAAGGCCTTTTCAACTCTGAAATGATGTGACTGAGCCCTCTGTGACACTGAGCTGGAAAAAATAGTGTTGGTCTCTGTGGACAGGGAGACAGCACCTGCATGATCATCCCAGGATGTGCTCTGGCTCCCACCCTGGGTCCAAGGCAGTGACAGAAGGATGGTGTCGCACTGACCTGTTAGGAGACCAGAGCCCAGACCCATCGCCACAGCAAAGCTGAGTGCTCCAGCGTTGATGAGCATTATGTAGCCAGCCCTAGAAGCGACAAAGCAGAGGTGTCACTCAGACATTAGGCTGCGGAGATCAACAGGATGAAAAGGACCATCAGCATCAGAAGTACCAGTGCTGGAGGAACTACGAGGAGCCCAACTGTACCCTCCCCAGGGGTGTGTTCCCCTGTCATTTTCCTAGAGCTAAGCAGACCTGTGGTGGGGAAGGGCAGGGGAGGGCCAAGATCTTCTTTGGCGTATTTTAATCTTCAGACCCCAAGGATAATAGGTAGACCAGCAGTCAGAAGACCCAAATTCAGGACTCAGCCTTGTCGCTGACTGATCACTTAACCTCTCAGATCCCCTGGTTTCCTTATCAGCCAGTTACAGATGAAGGTATGGGCAAGATGGGGTATGGTTTGAGTATCAGACCCATCTCCCTGCCCTGCTCACTCCTACCTCTGGGTACTTCCCAGTCCCCTTTCTCTCAGGGCCATCCCAGGGCGTCACTTGCAAAATTAAACTACATATTAAGGGGCCCTGGGTGCTGAGTGCAATTTTCTCAAGGGTTAGCCTGGGCCTAGGCACTGCTAGCCCCTTCATTACAGCACTGAGGTAGTTAAACAAAACGAACCAGTTTGTAAGCCTTTCTTGTTTCCCTATTTCAACAGCATCACACACAGCTGGACAGCTGGACAGCTGGTGTCTCCATTTTGAAAATTAAGCACAACTCAGAGCCTGCATAAAGTCTCTTTCTCTCTCTTTTTTTTTTTGTTTTGTACCAGGGATTGAACTCACAACCTCATGCCTGCCAGGTGTGCACTTATACCCCTGAGCTAAATCCCCGGCCCCTCTCACTTTGTTTATACTCCTCTTTCTATTTTCCTCTTCCTCTTTCTTCTTTTGCAGTACTGGGGCTTGAACCCAGGGCCTTTGCACTGAGTTATATCCTTGGCCTTTTTAATGTTTTTTTTTTTTTTTTTTTAATTTTGAGACAGGGTCTCACCATGTCAACTTGTCCAGGATGAATTCAAACTTATGATCCTCCTGCTTCAACTTCCCAAGGGATGAGATTTAAGGCATATGCCACCACACCCAGCTCAAAAAAAAAAAAAAAAAAAAATTCTTAAACTGGATATAAAAGAGCTAAAATAAGGCTGGGAATAAGTGCCTGCCTGGCAAACGTGAAGTTGTGAGTTTGATCCCGGTACAAATGAAAAACAAGCTGTTTTAAGACTAATCTGACTTCGGGGCTGGGGATTTAGCTCAGCGGCATAAGTGCCTGCCTTGCAAGCAGGCAGTCGTGAGTTCGATCCCTGGTACCGATAAAAAGGAAAAAGACAAAAAAAAAAAAAAAGACTAATCTGACTTCACAGCATACGCTCTTCACCTTAACCTTAACCACCATCACTTGCAAAACTGACAAGGGACTTGGGCCAGATCTACCTGGCCTGTCTCCGTCTGTGCAGCTCAGGACTTTGCCTCTCTGCCTGGCAGACTAAGCTACTCCTTTGGGAAGAAGTGGCCTGAAGAAGTGATAATGCCATACATGGCAAGAGTTTCTGAATGTATCAGTCAACAAAACTTTGCTGAAAAAAAAAAAACTGTCTGACCCTGAATGCATTTCCTCTTCAGGGGGCTCTGGGCTCATTTGCTATCAGCTGGACAGGTGTGAAGGGTGGAGCCTGGCAACTCACCTAGGTTTTCCAGAGATCTCAAGTGCTATCAGCACAATGTAAGCGAACCCTCCCAGCAGACCTGGCAATCCAAAAGTGTAGTGCACGCCACTGAGGTCCTGAATTCTCAGCGTATGGTTAAAACACACCTGGGGACAAATGGCATTATGAACAGATCTGCAAGTGAGACCCAAACTTCCTCCCCACCCTTGTCACAGATCCTTGGTAAGCAAGACCACCAAAGGGGAATAACAGGAAGGCTTTCCCTCCTCAGACTTGAATATGCATCCCCAGGAAACTTGTTACAATGCAGATGAGCATTGGGGGGGGGGGGTGAGCTGAGACCTCAGGTGCTACATCCTACATGATGCCCCTGCTACTGACCCACTCTCAGAGCGTGAGGGTGCTGGTATAGGCACAGATCGCATTCAGAGCTGACACTCCTGTTTTGGGTGACAGCAGGGGCTGTCCTGTGACAGAAGGATATGTAGGATGTTCAACAGCATCCCTAGCTTCTGCCTTCTAGATGCCAGAAGTACCCCCACCTAACTGCACCGACCAAGAAGTCTCCAGATATTGTCAACTGTCCCCTGGGTTGGGGGTGAACACTGGTCTAGCCATATTTAAGTGCTGTCACTAATAAAGCATGGCTAATGAGATGAAAAGTCAGCAGGAAAATACCAGATTGCACCCAAGACACCTGTTCAGTGCTCCCTCCACCCCTGCCCCCCAGTCAAATGCAAATTTCACTGGGCTAGTTCCCTCCTCAGAATCCCCATTGTTTTTAGGAAACAAAACCAGACTCCTCACTAGTCCTAGATGTGAATAGCGTCCCCATCTCTCCAGGCTCTGGTCCCACCAGGCTGGAGGGTGACCCCAAAGCTTTGGCCAGGAGAGTGTCCCTACTTTCTTGGTTGGAACACAGGCTTTCCTCACCATTGAATCTTTGTACATACTGCTCCTTCTGCTTGGAATATATTTCTCACTTCCCTGCCTGGCTAAAACAGCTGATCTGTCACTGCATGGCTTGGATGTCCTATGCTCTGGGAAGTATTTCCTGACCTGTCCCAGCCTAGCTTAGATGTGCTCCTACAGCAGCTATCATACTGGATTATATGTATCTGTCCATTGCCTTCACTAAACTGTAGCTTGGGAAACAGGATAAGTATTAGGGATGAATGAATATCTTTGAGTAGAATCCTCTCCCCCTTCCTGTGACAGAGTCAAAGTAACTGAGGCATCAATAAAGCGACAGAAGCTGAGCCAGATAGCTACGTGCCAGCATGTTTTGCTCTGCACATTCTCCTTCATTTTAGGGGTTCCAAGCTAGAAGAAGTCAAAGACATTTGTTCTCACTGTACAGATGAAAAACAGACTGTTTTATCTTTGGGCAAATCAAACAGTAGGTAAAGTTTTCTTTATTTTGAGTCAAAACTGACTTCTTGAATAGCCACCATTTACAAATCCAGCCTTCAAAAGTCTACGTTTTCCTTCAAATGCTGTAAGATTTGCTGTCTCTAAACGTTTCTCTTAGGAGCACATTACATGACTGTAATGGAGTGTTCTGGTGTAATGAGCTGAGTACTGAAGGAAAACCCACTTGAAGCAGTAAACCAACCCAAGATGGACACAAGCTGGGTCATCATGCTGGCACTCTTACTTTTGGGAGCTTCTCCTGCCCTTCCCCTGCACATGCAGCAGCCTTGTATATGTGATCTGCCCCCTCCTGGTCTAAAATGACGCATTTCCCTAATTAAACCAAGGAGCCCCTTCTCCATAAGATTTGGAATTGGCTACATTTTGAAGCAAAAGGTCAACCAATTCTCCCACTTGATACAAGAGAAGAGGCAACAAGGTCTACTGAGTGAGAATAAAGTAGATGTTCAGGAAAACCAAAGGAAGAGCAGAGACTTCTTAGCATTGCTCACAAGCTACTCCCTGGGTTCCCAGCAGCACCTCTGACCGTGTTCTGTGATACCTTAGTTGCTGTATAACAAACTCCCTCCATGCCCCAGAAAAGTTGAAAGGGCCATCTCACTTGTTCCCCAGCACCCTAACAAATGCACAATCCATCTGTAGTGGATCCCTCCTCAGACTTTTGCAGCTGATCAGAGAAAGTGCTGACACCTACCTAACTCAGCTATGGCACCCCTTGATAGCCCACCGTAAACCCAGGGTCCTGCTGGTCTCAGCCAAAGCAGTGGGTGTTAGTTGCCCCGTTCCTCACCGACAGGCATCTGGATCCCCCGATGGAGATCAGCCCAGCCAAAAGGCCCAGCACCATAGCAATCCAAGGAGAGGGAATCAGATGACAGGAGGCACCCACAGCCACGCCTCCTGCCAGTACCGCATTGTGGATATCAATCTGCAAAGAAATAGCTCGTGGATGAATGAAGTGAGGCACAGAGAGGACACCATTCTGCTCAGAATTCCTCAGTGAGCTGGCAGAAAAGCAGCCCTGTAAAATCCTCCTATTTCACTGACCCCCAAACCATCCCTTGCCTTGTATGGGACTATATGACCTTCCTCCTTGGGCTGATCTCAGTCCTACCTCTCAGGCACAGGTAGCAGTCACCTGACTGAGACTGGTGCTGGGGCATGAAGGGGCATGAGTATGTGTATGCTGGCCAAGGAGTGGCCCCTTCTTACCATGTTAATCTTCCCTTGGTGGTGATTCAAGGCCGACACTGAGGTGGCTGTCACCGTGCTGACCGCAATGGTATAGTAGGTGTTGAACACAACATTTTTCTTTTCATTTGCATCGTTCAGCAGAGCGGAGTTGAAACTTGGCCAGAACATCCACAAGAAGAGGGTCCCTGGGGGCGGAGAGGCTCACTGAGCAGAGCCTCAGGGCTGCTCCAAAATCCTGAACCTCCAGGGGCTCCGGAGGAGTAGATCCTACAGCTGGCAGGTCTGCATGGCTTGGGGCAAACCATGTATCCTCCCTGAATTCCCAAGTTGGTGGGGACCAGCCTACATATTTTATAAGCAAAGGAAACAAGGCCTAGAGCCCCCAAGCCTCCTGACTGCTGTCTGTAATGGCCAAATACTTATTTTTTAAAAATCATTTTGCTGCTTTAACTGGGACCCACAGGCTGATATTCATGCACCTGCTGTCGGCTGTTTGTCTGTCTAATTTTCCTCCCAGCCATTTACAGTCATCATTTTCACTGCAGTTTTGCAAAATGTGATGTGCTTACTCACAGACCCTACTCTCTTCATTTTTCTACGTTCCTGTTTTCTGCTGAGAAACAAAGGATTAGACATATGTATTCAGACTCAAACATGAGAAGTCTTTCGTGCCAATGGAATATTAGTGAAGAGAAGTTGCTAGGAGGAAATGTTTAATCCAAAGGTATGAACTCATCAAACATTCCTTCAGGTAAAGAGTACCTATGAAAAGATCTCAGGGAAAAGGGTGATGGACAGACTTTTCTGTGGGGTGTTTTCTGAACCTCTTGGCTCTGCCCCGGCGGGAGACCACCCACCCACCTTGTCCTTACCCAGCATGGCAAACAGAGTGGGACTTGTGGCCATCTGAAACTTCTCTGCCTGCGCGTCCTTCTCCACTTTGTTGGGAAGAGGCTTTGAGAGGCAGCAGGCCATACCCAGTCCAAAATAGGCTGCAAACACATGGATGTGCATCATGCTTTGGTGGTCATCCATCTGCAACAAAAAGTAGCAGGTTCTGTGAACGCCTTCTCTGCCTGTCAGCCCTCAGGTTCCTGGGCAAAGGCCTGTGCTTTGTATTGGAGGCTTGGCTGGAAGTCATGAGAGCGCTCCAGAGCTGATCCAGCTCAGTAGTTGCCTCTGCCCTTCAAAGGAGCCCAGGAGCAGCTGCTGGTGACTGCCTGGTCTTTATCGGTAGCTCCTACCTGCTGCTCCACTTTGGTGGGGCCAAAAGCCACGCAAACACTCACCCACTTCTTCTCACTTCTCAGCAGAATTCAAACTCTACATGGACTGATGAACAATATAAACTCTGTAACATGAAGCAACCAGGCTTCCCATAATACCAAACTCAGATCTTTAGTAAATTCTAACTACATGCTGATTTTGCTCCCTGAATAGCAAGTTGAGCAGCCCTTAAGAACTCACTTGTGGGATACTGGTAAAGGCTGTCGTCGGTGCCTTTCAAAAATACCCAGAACTGACCGCATTTTTGCCACCACCCCACCTTGGTTGAAGCCCCCATCACTTCTATTACAAATCCGTGCAGTACATCTCCTCCCTTGCAGCACCCTTCCTCCCACGTTCTCGGTCGTCATCACTTGAAGCCTGACCAGCCTGGTCATCCGGCCTTCTGGAGTGTTTTCCCCCCGCAGAGGATGAAAGAGGGCAAGGGCAGGACAGTCTACACTGAGTGCAAGCAGCAAGCAGATGCATCATCAGTGGAGAATTCCAAACCATTTCAAAGCCAATCAATAGCCCATACATTTTTAGTTTTCTGGTGCAGGGGGTAGAACCCAGGGCATTCATATTGAATTACATTCTCAGGCCTTTTTAAATGTTTTGCCTTGAGATAAAGTCTTGCTAAGTGACTAAGCTGTCCATCCTAGGCTTAAACTTGCCATCCTCCTGCCTCAGCCTCCCAGAACGCTAGGATTATAGGTGTGGGCCACCACACCACACCTGGTTCTATTCCCTTTTTATATCATGATGTGCCAACACTTTTAAACAGCAATAAAGTATTCCTCTGGGCAGATGCAATCTACTCCCCCACCCTGCCATGGGCTGTCCCTGTCCTCAGATACCCTGTGGGGTATGCACTTGTCCTTCAGATCTGTCTTCAAACATTGTTTTCTCACTGAAGCCTTCCCTGCCCGTTCTGTCTAACATCCTATCACCTCCCCCAACTCTTTCTACATCCTTTCTCCACTGTATTTTTTCTCTGTATTATTTGTCGCTACCTAACATGCCAAACCCTTGCCTATTTTACTGCTTAGTGACAACGTTCCTTTTGGAATGCAAGTTCCATGAGAGTTGTAACTTGGTACTGCCACAAGAGTTCCTGTTACATAAAAGGTACTAAATAGATGTTTGTGAAATGACTGAACGATGCCTGTAAGGAGCTCTCAGTCTTATGAAAAGATGCAGTCTTTGCAGTTCCGCAGTGAGAACTGAAAATGGACTTTAAAAGCCTCCATGCACTCCACCGGGAGCCAGGGGCCACACTTGGGAGTCACTGGCTTTGAATACTTTTTTCTCTTCCACCATGGTTCTCCCTGAACCCTTCCATTGAACATACACAGGCTAAAGCTTTAAGGACCATGAGCCCTAAAGAGTGCTAAACTCTTCTTGGACCAGTTGAAGCTGCAGGAGAAGCGATGGCATTGAAACAATGCAGCTTTTATGTTAGTTATAAAGATCATGGGAAGATTTATTGTATGCGGCTCACAGTGAGTGTCTCCTCTCTCAGATTCATCCCCAACCCTTCTATGACTCCCCACCCTCTCGGAGACAGAGTTTCACTATGCAGTTCAGGTTGGCCTTGAACTCACTCTGTGGCTCACACTGGCCTTGAACTTGCAGTGATCCTCCTGCCTCAGCTTCCTGATGCTAGGATTATAGGCACGTGCCATCACACCCAGCTCCCCCACTCTTTCAGTACTGGGGATTGAACCCAGGATCTTTACACTGAGGTACATCCCCAACCTTTTTTATATTTTGAGACAGAGACTTGCTAAATTGCTAAGGTGCCCAGCTGGCCTTGAACCCCCTCTTCACGGCTATCCATGTCTTACTGTGTGGGCATGATCCATACCAGGAACAGCTTTCAGCCCAGAAGATAAACCATTCAGTGGATTAATCAATTCCCTCTCCCTGAATTCTAGAATGGAAACTGAGAGGGAAGATTGTTGTTTCTGCAGGATATGGGACCTAGAAATAAAAGAACAGATGGAAGGATGGGGATAGAGAGGGCATATTTTTCACTAAAGAGAAAGTTCATGAACAGAGAGGAATGTAGCCAAAAAGGGGAGAGCAGGCTCTCCCTGGGATCTTCAAGCCTTCTCTTCCTGAATCTAGCTGCAAGGCTCTTGGAGGTCCTGAGACTAAATTCCTCTCATTCTGCCTGGGAAAGCCTCAATATTTTCTTTCCTGAATCAAGAAGTTGTGATCAATCCCTGTAGTAAGCAGAGAGACAAAGCAGGAAAGGGAAGAGTGCCTGTAGGACCCTATGAGCCCACAGTGATAGAAATAAACAAATAGATGAATGAAGGACCGGGAAGAGAAAGCTCTCCTTACAGAGGAATGCCAGCTAATGGTTATGAGAGAGAAGATGGAGTTAGAAAATCGATATCGGCCACCGTCATCGTACTGACTGATTCAGGCGAGAATCAATGGATGCTAAACCAGTGGGTGAAGGTTTGATGATATTTTAGGAAGTTATCTTCCCACGAGATGTGCATCAGTCACAAAAGGGAAAATAGCAGCTTTACAATGGAAAGGTCCTGGCAGAGTCACCTTAAGCAGAACCACCTTAGGCAAGTGATCAAATTATGCCCAGTAATGGGACAAAGTGACCCATGTCTCCTGAAGGGCGGTACTGTACCAGAAGGACATGTGTCACTTTTGTGGACTGCCTGCCCCAAAAGCATATCCTTGATCTAACCATGAGGAAATGGTAGCTAAGTCTGCATGCTACAAGCTATGTGGCTTTTAATTTCAAAACATGTCAAGGCCATGAAAGATAAAGAGGTAACAAACTGCAGACGGGTGGAGTTTTAAAAGCCTTGAGAACTAAATGCAAAGGACCAGAATCCTGCCAGACAAGATATGATTAGAATAGCAAGTGGAATTTGAATATGGTAATAATATTGTCTCCGTGTTAATTTCTTCATTTTGTTAAGTGAACAATGCTTGGATAAGAGAATGCCCGTTTTTAGGAAAATCCTGAAATATTTAGAGGTGAAAGGAAAGTCCAATATACAGATCTCTTGTCTTCTCTCCAAGTATCTCCAGCCTCCTTGGAAAAACCACAGTCACCGTTGCTCAGGCTGCACCGATTCGGCTGCTTCTGGTTCCAAAGGCGTCAGCACCTGCCCTTGGGCCTCTCCCCTTCACTTTTCTAGGGCAAAATGTTGGTCTGTCCAGCTCCTTCCCTCTGTGTTCCTTGATCCTGTCTCCTACATTATAGTTCTGCCACCCACATCTGCCATCAGACCTCAGACCTGTCATACTAGAAAATTCCACCTGGTAACAACCACCAGGTCCTGTCTGTCCAGCTCACTTCCTTATGTCCCCAGTTCCACACCTGAGTCACCTGAGCCTGATGATAATGCAGAGGATGGAAAATGTGGCACTGCCATGGCATGCGCCCCATGCTAGGCACTGTCTCCAGTGCTGTATCCACTTATTGAATCCTCATGACAGATCTAGGTATGAATATTATTGTTACCTCCATTCTGTGGATAGGGCAATTAAAGTACCTAGAGGTTAACTAAGGTGCCCGAATCGGTTCAGCTGCTGCAGGTTGAGCTGAGATTTGAACCCAGGCTAACTGGCATAGAATCAGAAGGAAGTTCCCTATTTGTACCGTTGTCCATTGTTGCAGTCTCACTCGTGGTTCTGTGGCTTACTGGTTATATTTCCTCCCTTGTAGACAGCCCCTTGGATCTCTCTTGGTCTCTGGGTTCTCTCTGAGCAGTACCCCAGGCTGGGCACATTCACCCCTCGGCTTCCTCCCGGGTGCTGGTGTACATTCTGCATCTGAAGGCCCCACTCCCAGGCTGTGGCCCGCTGTGCCTTTCTGGTCTGCTCACTCTCCCCTGCTGTTACAGCTTGCTGTTTCTTACCTCCTCTCCCCTCACTAAGGCTCCTGACTGTGCCTTGTATTTCTCCAAGAAAATATAAACCATAAGTGGGGAATTTTTCCTGCAAGAGAATTTACCTGTGCTAGCCACCGCTGACCCTCTGCCCTCTCTCTCAAAGGCACTGGGCCCAGAAACTTCCTGCCTTTCTCTAACTCAAAGATTTGCTTTTGCAATTCATCCTTCTGTGTTGTTAGCCCCCCCCACTTACTGTATTATGCTAATTGGTGAGTAGGCATCACCTGCCTTAAACAAACAAAATCCCCCAGCTTCTACTCCATTTCTCTGCTCCCTGTCGTGCAAAATCCATGGAAGAGAAGCTCCTGACCCCTGCCTCTACTCTCTCATTTCCCGTTTGTGAGCCAGTCTAGTCAGGCCTTTGCTCCCAGCTTCCTGTCTGTCACGCCCCAGCCTGCATCTTGCTTGTGACCCTTCGGCAGCATTCGATCCAGTTTAGGCGCCTTCTCTATGGGCCCTCCAGAAACGCAGCCCCTCCTGGCTGTCCTCCCCTCCGCCGCTCCTCAGGCATCTTTGCTGGTTCTTCTGCCTGTCCTCATCTAAAATTTTGTAGTGCTGTAGATCTGGGTGTCCAGACTTCTCCATGACCTCCGTTACATTCACTCCCTGGGTGATCTTCTCCAGTCACGTGGCTGCAAACACTGTCCTTACCTGAAAAACTGTACAGCCCAAACTCTACCCTTCCCCTAAGCCTCAGACTTGGACATATTCCATGTAGTGTCTCCTCTGAGGTGGTCAGTCTGTACACATCAGGACCCTAAACACTCCACATTCACAACTGACCCCTGGATTTTTCCTCCCAGGACTATAAGGTGTGATTGAAACATAATGTGTGATTGAATAAAAGTATACATTTAAAAATTATTACAGTAAAAGATATATTGTCATTAATTCCTCCCCGCTTCTGAACATGCTTATCTCATTGTTTTTGAGTGTCTTTAGGAGGCCTGATTTTGAAAATACAGTGAGTGCTGCTACCAAGTGCCATCCAGTAGAAAGGCGGGCCGGGAGAAACAGACATGTGTCCTCATCCATGTTACTAACTGGGTCTGGCACCGTGCCGCTTCTGCCTCTTTCCCCAAGTTAAAATGATACCAAAGGTCAACATTTTGAATTGACTCAGGACGTGGAGACAGCCACGACCGTGCAACTAAAGAAAGGGTAAAGGACTTGCAGACCTACCTGGGAAGGTACAAGGACAGTGGGGAAGTGCCCTTGAGGAGGGTGATCAATGGCATTGAATTTTAAAAAATGTTTAACATTCGTTATATTGCCAACCACACTTTGAAGCCCATCCCGAAACAGTCCATCTCAGTAAGTAGTACTTCCATCCACCTAGTCGCTCCACATAAAAACCTTGAAGTCTTCTTTAACTTTTTTGGCTTTTCTTATACCCCACGGGAAATCTATTGGCAAATGTGATTTTTTGCCTTCAGAATACAGAATCCAGGGGGCTGGGGATTTAGGTCAGTAGTACAAGTGCCTGCCTGGCAAGCATGAGGTTGTGAGTTTGATCCCTGGTACCAAAAAAAAAAAAAAAAAAAAAGCAGAACCCCACCTCTTCCCGCACCCCACCTCCAGCTGACATCCCACCCAAGTCTGGCTCATTGCAACGCCCACACTGAGGTCTCCAATACTTCACCCTTCCCCGATCCTCCCTTAGCAGCCAACATGCTGCTTTTAAAACTGCAGATCACATGACATGACATCACACCTCTTCTCTGCTCAAAATCCCAATGCTAGTATCTTTCATAGTAAAATCCAAAGTCCTTACTAGAGACGGACACATAAGAGCAGAGGTCTTGTTCTTTTTGAATGCATGCAGCATCTCACCGCACTAATCAGCTACCCCTCCAAACCCTACGAGGTCCTAATGTTACCTTAGATGACAGGCTGGAGCTCCAAGAAGTTACATTGTCCTCTCAGGGACTGTGCTGGGGACAGAGCTAGGATACAAACCTCAGTCTTGGATATCAAGTCCAGTGATCTTTCTCCTAAAGCTGAGCGGGGCACTGGGATCTCACATGGACTCTGCTGCTGTCCTGCTATGTGATTTGGAGACAGGATTTCACTGAATCCCCCAGGCTGGGCTCAAACCTGGACCCCTTCTACATTAATCTGAAATCACAGGGTTGTGCCACCAAGCCCATTGGACTTAGTCTTTTTGAGACAGGGTCTCTCTATGCAGTTCAGGCTGGCCTTGAGCTCACTTTGTAGCCCAGCCTGGTCTCAAACTCGCAACGATCCTCCCGCCTCAGCCTCCCAAGTGCTGGGATTACAGGCATGAGCCATCACACCCAGCTTGACTTACTGTTTCTTGATAGCGTCTTCCATTAAAGATGACAGAGGTGGCTAATGACATATAGTGAGTGGTTTCAAAGAAGATTCCCTAAGCAGCTTACTGGTACCGTGGCCAGTGGGGCTCTGGAAACTAATTCTTTTCATACTTTTTATACTACCGTAATTACCTTGTGACTTGGCAGAGTCCCACAGGGTCATATTTTGGAGTTAAAGTCAATATTCAGCATAGACTACCTTTTCCCAACATCATTTGGGCCTATCTTTGTTTTGTTTTGTTTTGAGACAAAGTCTCACTATGCAGTTCAGGCTGGCCTTGAACTCACTATGATCCTCCTGCCTCAGTCTCCCAAGTGCTGGAATTATAGGCATGCGCCACCATGCCTGACTCTGTCTTTTTTTTTTTTTTTTTGTAACCCCAAATCTTCACCAGAAGGAAGCAGTGGAAACTCACCCTTCCTGCTTCTCACCCCTCTTCTCTCAAATCCCCCCTCACGGGCCCCCCTAACTCACATTGAAGAGTTGCTTGCAGAGTAACCTCATGGCGCCAAAAGCTGTCACCTCCACCAGGGCCATCACTGCCAACTGCACCAAGTTGGCCCTCCCCAGGACGGAGCCCGCCGAGATCAACGCTGACATGGCACTCATGGTGGCCAGCCGGATACTAGCAGAGAGAAGGAGAGCCAGGTGATCAGGAGACAGGACACCTTTCATTCATTCATTTGCTCCTCCCACCACCACCTTCTGCCTGGCCCTGCTGAAGGCACAAAGGACAAAAAGACTGGGTTTCTGCTTTCAGGAGGGCTGCTCTTCAGTCAAGTGGCTTCACCCTGTCCCAACCAAGGTGGTGTTTGTGCTCTGAGACACAGTTTTGCACACATCCTACCCAGACCACTCCAAGACTTTCACACCTGTGTCACTGACTCGAGGTCTCCTGGGATCTAACACCTAGGACTGCCCAGAGACCTTCTTAGCTGTCCTCACTGCTCACAGATGCTCAATAGAGGGCGCTCCTGCTGCACCTGCTGGCCCACCTGTTACTCGGTCCGGCTCTCGCTTTCCCTCCCTCTCCCAGAGTCAGAAGGAGACAGGTTTGGAAAAGTACCAGCCTGCCTTCCTCTCCTGGCTTTGCCACCTGAGCAGCTATTTAATCTCCCTGTGCCTGTTTGTCCTTCTGCAAAACAAGACTGGTCAGCCTACTTGTCTCATGGAGGTGGAACAGTCTCTGAATATGTGTATTTAGCACCAAAACGGCATGAAGAGCCCATCATGAGTACAAGCTGTCATCACAAACACGATCACTGGTCCCTTTCTTCCCTTGACAAATGAGCAGGGAGTATTTTCACTGCGGGGATTCAGGAGGAGAAAACCTTTTAATTGTCTTTCTTTTTTCTTTTGAGGCAGGGTCTTGCTATGTAGTCCACAGTGGTTTTGAACTTGCTGTGTAGCTCAGGTTGGCTCTGAACTAGTGACTCTGCTGCCTCCGCCTCCTGAGTGCTGGGATGGCAGGTGTACCCCTCCACACCTGGCTGAGAAAACCCTTTTAGGCTGACATTGGGGGAACTAGGGCTTTTCCACCATGACCTGTTAAGTAGGGATGTCTGTGCTGGCTCAAAGCTAGAGGTGTTCCCTGGAATGAGCAAGCGGTGCCCACTGGACTCATCCACCTTCCCTGAGGAGGTGGCACTGAACTGGACAGCCCACTTTCCCTTGAGCATCTGGGAATTCCCAACGCTGCTGGGACAGCCACAGTGCCTGTGATAAAAACCACGTACAACAGGCTTGTAAGTACAGCGCTTCAATTAAATGCCGACGTTCTGAGAAACCTCTTTGAAATGGTGCGAGGTTACCACGCAGCAGCTCCTTCTGCAGAAGAATACACTAAGTCTAGAACAATTGACAGTTTGGGTAATGACCGTGCCACCAGCTGACGACAGACCTGAGGTCTGGACCCCGCTGGCCTAGATCCCACACCTGTGCGCTGAAGTCCGGACGCAGCTTCCCTGGAGTTTGTTGCCAACACAGACTCAAGGACTTCCAGGGGAAGGTCATAAAGAGCAGAGGCTGTGGGCACAGGCCTTACAGGGACCAGAACAAGGGTTATTTCCACCGTTCATCTCACACAGGCTGTGTCTCTTAAGTGAGTGCTTTTGTTTTACTGAGAGAAGCTTAATTCTTAAGAAATGAGTTACAGTGGCGTGTCACACTGCAGAGGCTGGTTGGTGACAGGCAAGTGTAAGACTGTGAAAAGTACAATGGATGGGAGCACAGACTGCCTGTGCTGACGGTGTGACTCAGTCAATTCCGGGCTGTGTGATCTCGGGCAAATTACTTAACCACTCTGTGCCTCCGTGCCTACAAGGTGGGGCAGTATCTCTGGAGCTGCTGTAAGGGCAAAACGAGTCAGTACATGTAAAGTGCAAGAGGGAGCTGATTATTACTATCTTTGTCTAGACGGAGTCCTCTAGACTTTCAAAATAAACTTTAAATTTATCATTCAGGGCTGAGGTAGCTCAGTAATACCTTACTGGTCTAGCATGCATAAGGCCTTGGTGATCCCCCAGCCTGGGAAAAAAATAAAATAAAATAAAATTCATTTAGAGTTCCTTTGGCTTTCAGTTTTTATTTCAATAATCATTTACCAAACTCTTCCTTCATGAGGAAACAAAGAAAGGCAAAGCTCTCTGACAGGGACTCGTGGCAGAGGCAATTCAGAGCCAGGCCAGGTGGCACAGTTTTGAGTGAGCCAGGGACAGAGGAGGCCTGGGTGCCACCCATGGCCCAGGCTGGAGGGAGCTCATTGTTCAAACCTGGAAAGCCGCGGTGGGAGGGGGCTGTCCCAGCGGGAGGATCCGGTGCTCAGGGTGGGGCAGAGCTGCAGGCTGCCGACGGCACCTTCTCATGCCCCTTGACTGAGTCACAAGCCAACAGGTCCCTGTGCAGGGCAGAAGGGAGCAGCCGTGCTGTGCCTTCAGCTCAGCTTGTGCGACCTTATACCAAGGCCACAGGACACTGAGCCGGGGCCACAACTGTCAGAATTTCTCGAGTCCCCTTTGTCACTTCCTAGGTGAATACCAGGGGTTATTCAATCCCTATAAGGCTTAGTTCTAAGAGTTTTAAAAAGGAAAAGCGTGGGGAGTTCCCCCTGACCCTGGACAGTGAGGAACTGCTGAGTCTGTGTTGCATTTCATGACCACTCTGGAGTGTGTAGGAAAGGTTAGGTCACAAGAGGCTTAAAAGCTATCTCCACTACTTAGCTGTGTGGCTTTGGCCAAGTGCCGTACCCTCTCTGAGCCTTCATTTCCTTACGTATATTTGAGGGTGGACCCCGATCTGGAAGGGTTAAAATATCTGTGAGGTATGTGGCACGGCAGGAGGCTTTGGGGATTACCATTGTGGGGGCAGAACAGAAGTTCAAAATTGGATAAAAGTTCTTAAGAGGAAATGTTACTTAGTTCCTCCTACCAAATGCTAATGACTCTTAAAAGTATGCAGAATAACCCTCACTCAGATTAACCTAGGGAACATTTACTGACCCCACAGGTTATTTCATACTTCTTCCTAATCAATACCCACTCATTACTACCATAGTGTAGTTTAGTTTTGATAGTTTGTAGTGTCACCTATAAATGCATCTAAACGGATCAAAGCTAGTGTAAAGGAGATGAAGGTGTGGCTGGATGGCTGGCTCTCTTCCACCATCATCTCAGGACAGTCCTTTATTTTTTGGAAGAGATATCTCTCCAGGTACATTTCTCTCTCTCTCCCCCTCTCTCCTTCTCTCTCTCTCTTTCTCTGTTTCATACTAGGACTTGAACCCATGGCCTTACACATATTAGGGAAACACTGTGCTACTAAGCTACACCCCTTTATATTTTATTTTGAGACTGGTCTTTGCCAAGCTCCCCAGGCTGGCCTCAAACTGAGATCCTCTCTTTCATCCTGAAGAGTAGTTGGGATTACAAACGTAAGCCACTACACTCAGCTCTTTCTTAATTTTATACAAACCCATGTTGATTGTGTAGCCTTACCAAAATAATAATTTAAAATAAGAAAGAAGTTAGAGAGGGTTGTAGACCTGAAGGTCTTGTGACACCACCCAGTTGAGGTGTCAGCTAGTAGATATATAACGAATAATCTAGAAGTATGTCTTAAATATTGTATGGCATCAGTGCTAGTAAGAGAGGAAGGTAATTTCAACTCTTTTAGAACCTCATGGACCCCATGTCCTCAATGACTGAAAGCAACCCAGCTGCCATTGGTCACCTGGACAGGTTGATGATCATCTTCCCCTGAAAGGGCTGGCTCAGGAAGCCATCCAGCAGGACTGCCCACTGCACGCCAAGGGCCAGCATGAAGAGGTTGAAGGCCACAGTGCTCCAGCAGTGTCTCCGCAAATATGAAGTGAGGAAGCCAAAGCCAAGGGCCGCCATGATGGTAAAATCCTGGAGGACTGCTCAGGGAAGAGGAAGGGCGAAGAACAGGAGGAAGCAGACAAGAGAGAGGGAATATGAAGTGAGAATTCACAGAATGGCAGCTGCAAGGGACATTTAGGGTGCTTGGTCAAGTCATTTTGCCTCCTTGGGCCTCATTTTTTTTCCTTCTGATCAGTGAGGATAGCACACTCGTACCGGAGGGCTGAGGTAGAATTACGTCAGCTAATGCTGGCTAAGCACTTCGGGCAAGGCCTGGCCCATTGTGAGGGCTCAGAAAACACAGCAATTATTGTTGTTAATAAGCACAGTGTCATGTAGGGCATTGGGATCTCTGCTTAACACGTAGCCAACACTCAGGAGGGGTAATTGCTGTGATCAGGTTCAACTCCTGGTCATGCTATGAAGAAAATAAAGCCATACCAGCTAAGTGATTCGGCCCAGGTCACAGAGGCAAAGAGGCAAAGGCAGGCCGAAAGCTCCTGTCGGCAGAAAACAGCCCTTGTCTTCACCATTTGTTGTGAGGGACCTGGTGGACCAGCAAATCACACCAGGGTCACTCGATTTTCCTGGGCTCAGAACCTGAGCAGAGATTGCTGAGGCAGGTGAGTGGAAAAGCCATATGCCAGGGCAGGGAGAGCCCAGCAGAAGGGAAAGAGGAACACTAGTTTGGTTTGACTCCAGTTTTGAGAAATAGTTAGCAGCCTGTGCTAATGAGCAAACATGGATTCAGATCAGGGCACTAGTGGTGTGGTCGTGTCTAATATTCAGCCTCTCCGAGTTTAACAGCCTCACTTTATTAAGCATTGTGCATGTGCTGACTGTTGAAATCACTTCACCAGACCAGCTTCTTAGTCCTCAAACCACCCTTTGAGGCAGGTCCATCACCATCTTACAGACGTGGAAACTAAGGCACAGAGGAACTAGTAACTTGGCCTGGTTGGTAGAGCCAGGATTTTTCTATGTGCAGCAGGGAGTTACTGTGGCCGTATCTCTGGTCTTTTTTTTTCCATTTTGTGTTAAGGTTGTGCTAAGTTGCTAAATTGCCCAGGCTGGTTTAGAACTTGCGATCCTCCTGTCTTAGTCTCCCAGAGTACTGAGATGGAAGGCATGCACCACCATGCGTGGTGAGAGCCAGGATTTGAACCTATACAGTCTTATGGAGCCTGGGGCTTTAGCTTCCACACTCTCCCCCTCTCTGCCCTGTTCCTGGTCGTCTTTGTTAGATGGGAAAAATAATCACACCCCTTCATCAGGTTGCCGGAGTCAAACGGTACGAGGCCCATAGTGGCTCGGAAGAGTAAAGGTCACTTTATCAAGAAACACCAATTATTTTCACACATGTATGAACGCCCAAGAGATGTCTTGAAGGATTTTTTTTTTCTTCTCATAGATATTGTCTCTGGACTTGGGAGATTTTTTACTTTCTTTTCAGTGTTTCAATTTTCTGCAAGTAATACATGGATAATAAACATTTCTTTTTTAAGCTTGGGCCTCAAGTTCAGACAGTTCTGTTTGATCACAGTTCTGTAATTTCCTTTTAGGTTAAACTTCATTAAATTGCTGACAGTTGGCCATTTTTGACCTTTAAGATCATCCATTTACATGTTTCCACCTCATAGACTTGTATATTTTTTACTTCCCTCATCAGCTAAATAAGGGCAATTAACCAGAGACTGCTGGGAGAGCTGACAAAAATACTGTTTTGTTCATGTGTTTGGTGCGGGACCCGGCACATGAAGAACATTCAGGAAAACACGATCCATCATTATCATAATAACCACCTCCACACGAATTCACCTGGTCTCCAAGCCCAGCTTGCCTAAAAACAGTGAAAAAGTTCGGATTACTGAAACACTCCAGAGTCACAGAAAGCTCCTTGATTGACACGGTCCCTCAAAGTCACATCCGTGAATACATACACCCAGTGCCTGGTATGCAGGACTCTGGTGAATATTCCTGTTCCCCAGTCAACCTGACAACACTGGGATGCAGGAGGCCCCTGCGGAACAAGCACACACACCTCTGCACATGATCTGAGGACTTGGGGAGTGGGTGTGAAGTGGGGATCAGGGAGGATTTGCTTTTTGCAACTTCTTCCCTGGCATCGGGGTGGTGGTGGGGAGGTGCAGGGACTGTCCCATCTCCTGCTTGCCTCCTCTTGCCAATGGAGGTGGCAGGGCTCCCTGCAGAGGGGCTCCTCTTGGGATTGTTCAGGCGCCTCCAGGAGCCAAGCAGGAAATGTGGGTATGAAAGTGCCTTTCTCATTCGGGAGTGGTGAGGCTTGTGGCCAACTGGAAGCTGCACATCCCGGTTGGGATAGTCATATTTAACCACTTGCGGGACACTCCGGTTCTCCGGTTAAATAAAAACTCATCTGCCACTTTGTAGCAATTTCCAGGCACAGGGTCCAGACATACTGAAGATTCCATGGCTAGGGAGAGTCCTTCATTTTCCTCCCGTTTTATCAAAGAAGACCAGAGAGAGCACGTGCCTTCCTCAAGTCCATATAACACCTGCAGTGGAACCCAATGCAGCGTCCTTCTACCAGGCCACACTGTTGCTAGCTTTTTTGTTTTGTTTTGTTTTGTGGAAAATTTTGTTTGTTATGTAGCCCTGGCTGGTCTGAAACTTGTGGCAATTCTCCTGCCTCAGTTTCCCGAGTGCTGGGATTATAGGCATGTGCCACCACGTCTGGCTCTTGTTTTTTTTTTTTTTAACCTCATTGTAGTAAAGACTTTAGCAAAGTCTCTTGTCATCTCTGGACCTCGGTTTCCTTCTCTGGAAACCACAGGAGTTGGGCTTGATGTTCTCTGGGTCCTTAGAGCTCTGGGATATTTTGAGGAAGGGGAAGAGAAGGATGGGGAGAGCCGAGTGATGAGGGCAGAGGTGGCTCTGAAGGTTAAAAAGCCAGAAGATGGTGCAGAGTGTGAGGGAGCCCTCTGTCAGCCCCGCTGCTCCCCGATGCTGGATGGCAGAGCTCATCCAACATCTTCCCAAGACCTCACGGCATCTGTGAGGCAGGAACCACACCCCACCCAAGAAGATGCGATTAGGGCAGCAGTTTCCAGGAGTTGTTGACTGCACCCACGCACCCCAAATGTTCAGTAGCGTTTGGTTTCAGAACTCCTCAGTCATCCTGTTACTTCCTGTCCCAGCCTCCTGGGGCTCCAAGGCCCAGATGCCTTCTTCTCATGTCTTGTTCCCTGGGCGTCAGCCACATCGGCTGGCTGCCGTCTCCAGTCTGATAAGCAAGTGGACTGGAAGGTGTTGGGCAGCGATAGGGAGTGCAGGTGCTGCAGAGGCCCCCAGGGACTCGGCCCGCACAGGAACTTTACAGTTTAAGTCAGGACTTTGGGAGAAGTATGTGAAAGGCCCATGACTTGGAGACAGAAGGTCTAACTGGGGCGCAGCAGTGAGAGGAAGCCATTGTTGGCATCACGGGAACAGCACGTGCACAGAGGGGACCTCTACTCACATCCTCTGTCCACACAGCCTGTGTGCTGGGTGCCTCTACTGTCCCCATTAACACCCGGAAAAAGGGGGGCATAGAGAGCCGCTGTGCTTACTCAGGTCCCACAGCTGGCAAATCGTGACAGGACGATTTGAACTCCGATTATCTGGGCCTAGCCACTATGCCATGTAGCATATCTATTGCAACAGGCGAGTGCGGGCCTCTGAGTCAGGGAGCCAAGCTTCAGAGCCTGGCTATACCTTGCTTTCCTAGCATTCTGATCTGTAAAGTAGGCATGAAACATGGCACCTGCTCAGAGGATGGCTATGGGCATTGCTGGGTTGCATGAATCACTTTGCCCAGCCTTGAACACACAGTGTCAATAACTATTGCCCCCGTGCCTGCTACGTATGGAGCTGTGACTTTGGGCAACACAGTTTCCTGTCCGGGTCTGATGTTCATTGGTGAAGAGTTCATTTGGATAACTGCTTTTCAGTCCTTCACGTCTATCCACAGGACCAGTTACCCTCTCTGGTCTGCTGCCTGCAGATTCTGATCTGCCCCACCCACTCTGGCAGCACCCTGGCAATTTGAACACCAGCATCTCTGAAGCCCAGGCCGTGGGCTGGGCCCCTACCCTCTGCATACCGGCGGGACCTCCTGCCTGGGACCTTCCAGGGAGCCCCATTCTGCCTTCTTCCCCGACTATGCCCACTCACTCTCACCCTGAAGCAGCCTGGAAAGAGAAAAAGATTTCACTTCCCAAAGGGGCAGCCCAAAGTTGAGATGTGGGAGGTTTTGGGAATTTACAGTCCCTTAGGGATTCTTTTTTTTTTTTTTTTTTTTTTTTGAGACAGTCTCGCTATGTAGTACGGGCTGGCCTTGAACTCGCTTGTGTTGCCCAAGCTGACCTCAAACTCATGGCGATCCTTCTGACTCAGCCTCACACGTGCCGGTACTACAGGCATGTGCCATCGCACCCCATATTCTTTTGGTCTTCTTGTATCCCTTCTCCCTGCTTCTGAGGAGTACAGCCAGCACCAAGTGGTGTCTATAACACAGGTCCTTGATTTATAGTAAAACAGTCTGGCTCCAGCAGATCTCGCACTTTTGTATCCATTAGAATCACTCAGAGGGCTGGGCATGGTATACATGCCTGTAGTCCCAGAATTTGGGAAGCTGAGGCAAGAGGATCACCACGAGTTTAAAGCCAGCCAGGATGACAGAGAGAGACTGTCAAAAAAAAAAAAAAAAAAAAAAAAAAAAAAAAAAAAGAAAAGAAAAGAAAAGAAAAAGAAAAAGAAAAAAAAAATCAGAGGGCTCTTTAAAGCACGTATTACTAGAATTTCTGATCAGTAGGCCAGAAATTTCCAGTAAGTTCCCAGTAATCATAACTCTAACCCTAAACTGCATGTCCAGTAAGTCTCAATAAGTTCCCTGGGGATGCAGAGGCAACTAGTCTGGGGACCACATTTTGGGAACTACAGAGCCAGGCTATGCTAAAGGTACTTGTAAAGTCTGCAACTCTAGAGTTATTTGATACTCAGATCTACCCAGCATCCTCCCTGCACTTGTTCAGAATGCCAGTCTCAAGCCTCTTAGCTTTGGAAAGTCTCTGGGGATGTGTGTGGGGATACCGGATCACTGTTTCTTCATATTTATCGTGTAGCAATGAATAGGAAGGGTTTTTTTTTATAATATGACTACTATGGGAAATCTTAAATGTAGAAAAAATACCATACTGACCTCATGTACGTATTTCTACTATGGAACCAATCTTGTTTTTATTATCTTTCTTTACTTTTTATTTTCTTCTGGTACAAGGCAAACTTTTGATATAGAGCAATTTCAATACGCTTCTGTAACTGATAGAGCCTTGAAAAGCCACTAGGATTTCATCATGCCTAACAAAATTAGCAACCATTCCTGTATATCACATGATGTCCATATTATATTCAAATTTCCTGATTGTCTGCAAAGCGTCTTCTTAGAATCTGCAGGCTTGAATAATTTACTGTCATATACATGGGCTGGGTTAGATTAATGGATTGACAGATCAAGTGATCTCAGTTTGATGTAACTGACTTTCACAAAATGGACAGCTTAAACAATTGCTTTAAAGAAAAACAGATTGGAAGCTGAACAATAATGGTAGCCAAGTGAAAACAAGAAGTGGGGAGAGCCACTTCTTCTGTGAGAGCCATTTCTTCTGTGCAAACCCTTTGCCAATCACAATCCAAGGTAAAAAAAATGTCTGTCCAATCAGACTTGACCAGAAGTCAACCAAGGCAATTTGAAATAATCAAGGAGATGTAAGAAATGGATTTGTATCCGTTATCATTAATGGTAACCATGGAGCCCACTGGAGGTCAATTGATACCATCATGATTAGTAGCTTGAAAATACATATTTCATTTTGATCTTTAAATTTTTAAATTTATATGTAAAAAATTATTGAGTTCTTTTGTTCTTTTTTTGAGGTGAGGTCTCACTAGGTTGCCCAGGCTGGCCCTGATCTTCTGGGGTTAGGGGTGCTTCTGCCTTAGCCTCCCAAGGTGCTTGAACTATAGACACATCCTACAGTGGTGTCACCCAGATTAATGTACAAAAGGTATTAATGCGGTAGAATTTGAGGTTAACATAGAAACACAAAGCATGCTCAAAAATGGTGTGCATAATCAGCAGTTAAAGTCTTCTGGCTGATACTGTAAAGCAACCTCCATACCGGTGTCAGGCCCCAGCCATGACCTGTCTCCTGCCCTCCACTAGCCTGGAGTGGCTTTTTTCTGTAGCCCAAACTCAAGCTCATCTTATTCTTGTTTCCTGCTAGATCAGCAGAGTAAGGGTCAAACTTCTTTCTGAACCTCACGGGTCCACCACCACCTGCTTCCCTCTCTAGGTTCTAGCCACACCACGGAGTTGAACTGTGGCCCCACGTGCGTATGCACATAAGGGCTCCTGCTGGGCTCTTGCTCCTACCGAGCCTTCCAGACTTGGCTGGACACTTACCTCCCTCCAGAAGCCCTCCCTGACACCACTGTCTTCCTTGCCTGGTTGTACTTACTTACTTCTGTGCTTCCCTCCAAAGTGGGTTTCTGAGGAGACTATTTAAGCAGCATGGTATGGTGAAGAACACAGCCTTTGGGGCCAATGTGCAGACTTGAATCAGTGGTTCCTATACCCACTGGTTATGTGACAAGTAACTTAGTCTTGCTATGAAACAGAACCATGAAGCATGGAAAGGAAAACCAAAATGTCTACATTGAAACTGGCTCTTCTATTGCTAGCTGAGTGACTTTGGGCAAATTGCTAGCTTCCTGATGTGAAAAACAGAGGTGCTGATACACCGAATCCCACGGTGGTGTTGTGAGGGTTTAGTGGGAAGCATTTGGAATAGGATCTGGTCTCAACGACTGATCAACCCACTGAGATGGTTGAGACGCATCTCAGTTCTTTAAAAAGCTAAGTTGCACCACTGTGAATATCCGTCTCATTGTAGTTCTCATCACAGTCTGGAGATGATTTTTAGCTGCACATACCATAACCACCATCCTATATTCCCTTGTAGCCACTCCTCCTGATTCAGATTTGCAGATAGAATGCAGACTCCTGGGTGAGAAGAAGGCAGAGGAGAACGGGAACCAGAGCACAGAAAAGAGCAAGAGAAATCTCCAAAGGGAAATGACTTGCAATTAAAGAGAGAGAGAGAAGAGGGAGGAGAAGCAGAGAAGCAAAAGATTAATAACATCAACGTGGCACAGAGAATTTGAGGAACACAGAGGAGAAGTACCCTTGCCCAGCGCTGACAAATTCAAGAAGGCTTCACAGAAGAGGAGCTGCCCAGGCTTCTCTCCAGGGACTACCTAAACTGTGGTCTGGGTCTTGCTGCACGCTAGGGAAGAAGGAGAAATCCCTTTCCTTGGGAATTCTGTGGAAAGGAGCAGTGTGCCACAGATCTCCCTGCCCTCGCCCCTCGTAGCTGTGACCACATCCCCAGGAACTCTCACCTTGATAGGCCTCCAAGAGCGTCTTCTGATCCTTTTGAGAAGAGTCATAGGAGGTCAAAAAGAAGAAGATGAGAATGAAAGTTGCCTCCACCAACAAGATCAACAGATGCAGGCAGCAGCGCACAGAGAGCATCCTGAGTCCCTCTCCGCGCCGCCAGCGTCAGCCTCATCTACAGCCCCGCACCCACCTGAGGAGGGACAGAGGAGACGCACGCCAGAACCTTATCTCAGGCCACAGGGTTGGCTCCGCTGGCCTGGCTGTGGAGTTAACACGAAGCAGAAGGACTAAGACGGGAAGGGAGGGGTGTTGCATTTATTTCAGCATCGTTAATTCACCCAACATAAACCTTTCCTGTGCTTGGTTTCCAGGAGGGAATTCTATTCACTCCACACCTGAATATAGCCTTCCTTCGCTCATTATTTCAGTTTATTTTCTCTGATCCTTGTTTTGAAGATAGGGAATGGTGGGCTAGGATACAGCTCAGCACAAGGGTACCTGCCTTGCATAGGTAAGAGCCTGGGTTCCTTCCCTAGCAACACAAAACAAACAAAAAACGCAGGGAATAGATAGCACTCCTATTTTGCAGGAGGGGAAACGGGCTCCAAGGGAACTTTTGTTTTGTTTTGTTTTGTTTTTGAGACAGTTTCACTATGTAGCTAAGCTGGCTTTGAACTCACTTTGTAGCACAGGCTGACCTTGAACTCACAACAATCTTCTTGCAGGAGGATTACAGGTGAGTACCACCATGCCTGGCTTCCAAGAGAATTTTAGATTGACAAAATGTTTGCTTTAAAAATCTGACCCTAAACTAGACATGGTGAAACACCTCTGTAATCACAGCTTTCTGAGGGCTGAGGCAGAAGGATTGTAAATTTAAACCCAGGCTGGGCAATTTAGTGACTTAGTAAGACTCTGTCTCAAAATAAAAAGGGGGGAGGGTTGGAGCTCACTGTGAAGACCCTGGGTTCATTCCCCAATACCGTAACACATTAGAAAAAAACTAAACCAATTTTTTAAAAGTTTCATGTCACAACAGAGAGGGAACCCAGTGAGTCTTTGTCAAGAACATTTTGAATGAATGAAATGAATGAACGCAAAGTACTATCTTTTTTTTTTTTTTCTTCTTCTTCTTCTTTTTCATGGGTACCAGGGATCCAACTCATGACTGCCTGCTTGCAAGGCAGGTGCTGCAAAGTACTATCTTAAGTACTGGGGAAGATGTAGACAGGACCCAGGCAGACCTGACTACTCAGGTACCTACTTAAAATAACCTGTACATTTGAATGTGTATTTTAATCTACTCATTTTAATGGTAAATGGGGAAGAGAAAGGAGGCTTAAATTTGGCTTAGACCTGGAGGAGTACTGATCCAGACCCAGGCTCTGGTTACCTCAGTATAGAGCAACCAGGACTCTGCCTGGGGCATAAAGTACCACAGTGCATTTGCGGAAGGCCACCTGCCTCAGCATCCCTTCCCACAGCAGGAATTTAGGGGGCCTGGCATGGCGTGTAAGGGGCCTGAGATTTGTCCTGACCCTGCAACCAACTTCTCTGATGGCCACAGCCACATGCTTAGCAGAAGGTCTGTTCTTAATAAGCACCGAGGAAGCAAAGGAGGGAAGAAAAAACTTTGATATGCTTTTACTTCTACGTTGGCCCCAACCCACAGGCTACCGAGTATACCCCGAATGCAGGGGCTCAGAGAACAAAGCCAGCCTAGGAGTGGAGGCAGGTGAATTTGGGCTCAACATGAGTGACACTTTATTGACCATTACCCCTGCCCAGAGAAAAAGACTGCTCATGAGGTAGTGAGAACTCTGTAAGGAGCGGAAGCTATTGGTTATGTCTTGGAACACACAGGAGTGTCATGGTTTATGTCTATGTCCCCCAGGCCTCCACTCCAGTTTGCATTGTGTATTTGTGATTGGTTCATTGTCTAGCGCTTGAATTGATGGTGTCAGTGCTCCACCCACATAGGGGTAGAGCCAGGATGTGATGTAATGGCAGGAAGAAGATGTGTCTTGCTCTTTGCTAGTTCGAGTTTGCTGTTGGCGGCCGCCATGAACTGCAGCCCAGCCATGCCTGCCTGTCTTGGAGCCAACTGAGTGTGGACTAAAACCTTCAAAAACTGTAAGAAATAAACCTTTCCTTTCCCAACTTGGGCTTCAGGTGTTTTGTCTCAGCGACGAGTAAAAAGTAACTAAGACAAAATTATTTCTGTTGTAATTAGGGGTTGTACACAGAACAATTCAGATCAGGACATGGAGTTTATAATATTTTTATAATGGTTACCGGAAGTTAACACAGGAGAATGCAGGAAATCTATCCGCAACACCAATGACATAGATTATTTAGTCAAGAGTCTAAACCCCACGGCAATGTCTCACATGAGTTCAGATAAAAACCCAGAGCTCAGGACAACGCCTCCACGAGTCCAACTGGAAGTCCACAAGAAGGACTCACGCCAGTCTCTTTTACGGATTCGTGCCGGGAAGACCCAAGGCTCAGCGGTGGAATCCAGAAAGTCTATGCCAGCAGGATGAAGGAGCTGTGCTAGTGGGATGAGGGTTCTACACTGGAGCCGAGAAGTCACACTCACAACAAAGAGCGGGGCTGTCCTGAAAGGCACCACAGCCATCCTCAGCGACATGGAGGCCCCGAGCTCCTCCAACGACAAGCACAGTCGGGTACATGCCAGGAAGCAGCGTGACGAGTTCATCCTGGAGACCAGGCAGCACACGTCTTCCCCTCCAGAGCCAGGAAGCAATGCTCGCTGTGAAGACCAGAGCTTCTCCAGGAGAACCCACAGCTCAGACAGCAACTCGTAAGAGAACCCACAATGCCACCTTCACGCCTCAATCCGTCCTAACACCTCTCTTCTTCTCCACCTATTTATCCTGGCAGCCCTCCTCAGGTGGAGCATCTTCTCTCAATGCATGCTGATGTAATCTAGCTGGCGTTAAGTTGACCACCAGTTTTCAAACCATAACACAGGAGGATCTTGTTATTTGATTTATAAAGAAATTAAGAATCAGGCCATATTCAAGGTCATATAGGTAGTTGACATTGGTCATTTCTTGCTCAATATAGCTTTATTCATAGATATAAAAATTTCGAATAACTTAAATGTCCACTAACAGGGGATTAGTTAGGTGAACTATAGGACTTGTCACCAATATGATGGTTCTGAACATACACGGGAAAAGCCAGAGGAAACTGAACCTTATCAAAAGTTGCAGATAGTGGGGCTGGGGATTTAACTCAGCGGCACAAGCGCCTGCCTTGCAAGCAGGCAGTCGTGAGTTCGATCCCCGGTACCGATAAAAAGGAAAAAGACCAAAAAAAAAAAGTTGCACATAGTAGTACACACCTATAATTCCAGTCACTTGGGAAGCTGAAGCAGGAGAATCGCAAGTTCAATTTAGTGAGACTTAGTCTCAAAATTTAAAAAAATGTTTTAAAAGCTGAGGACATAGTTTAGAGATAGAGCACTTGCTTAACAAGCTTGGGCTCAATCCCCAATAATGAAAAAAATTAAAAAGATACAAGATATACTATTTGGCTAAAAAAAAAAAGTCAGCTGGGAATGGTGTAATCCTAGCACTCAGGAGGCTGAGGTAGGAGGATTTTTGAGAGTTCAAGACCAGCCTGGGTTACAAAGTGAGCTCAAGGCCAGCCTGAACTGCATAGAGAGACCCTGTCTCAAAAAAGACCAAAAAAAAAAAAAAAAAAAAAAAAAAAAGGTTACAAAGCAATATGCTTGGTTCATGAACTTAATTCTTCCCACATTTCTGGTCACAAACTGAATTGGATGAGAACCAAACCTAATTTCCCCATATAGTCAATAACATTAAATCTAAACTTTAAATTTGATTCGGTTCTTGTCCAATGCTGTTGGCGATCAGAATTGTGGAAAGAGTTAAATTTGTGAACCAAGATACTACTGTATATTCTCACTTTTATAAAATAATAACAGTGTTAGCATGTGTAGAGTTAAAAATTGGCTTCAAACCAGTAAAACACTGCTTATTTTTGTCTTACACATTTTCAGAGCTAGCATAAGCACCTGCGGTGCCGGGCGCTGTTCTAAGCACTTTGCGTGTCTGAACTCAGTTAAATGTCTCTGTGAGGTGAGCACTGTTTATCCTGACATTACAAAGGAAGAAACAGAGGCCTAGGAAAGTTAAATGACCTGTCCAAGGCCATGAGGCTGTCAGTACTAGAGCTGGAAATTAGACTTGGGAAGTCCAACACACCTATGGGTGTTTAATCGCTTAATTATAATCCACATAACTTCTGTTTCTAATTCTAAAAGTCTAAGAACATAAGATTCCAACCCCCTGGCTACCCCAGCAGAAAATTAGGGAGAAGGTATCCTGCCCCCCAGAGCTCAGACATCTCTATTTTCCCCATGGTCAATCCTGATTTTGATTTCTAGCCTCCTTTCTGGCAGCCAACACTGCTTATAAACTGAGTTTTCTTATGAAGAAACTCATCTGGGCAGAGGACAAATGATCGTGACTTGTACTGGCCTGGGCCTGGCATTAGGCAGCCAAGCACCTATCTGCCAGGGGCACCAGATGTCTGCTTAAAGCAACACCAAAGACTCAGGCTCTGCCAGCCCCTGAGAGTGTGCTTACCAGCTGGCAGACTAGGGCAGCAGCTGGCTTCACGGCACCCCAGGCCCCTGTGCACCCTGATCCTGCCCCAGCAAGGAAGCAGCAGGGACTCCCCATTTGGCAGAGGTTTCCCCCAGCAAAGGGATGGGCCACACGCTTGGCCTCTCCCCACAGACCTGTCAGAAGTGGCTCTTTTGCTCTTCCTCCTCTCACTTTTGCGGAAGGCTCCTGTTTCCTGGCACCAGCTCTGCATGTTTTGTCTCTAGATCTGCAAGGCAGGTCACCTGGTGCCAAAAGCACAGGAGAGCTAAGATAGGTAAGTCTAAAACCAAACATCGCAAAAGGTTTTGAATCTAGCTGGGAAGTGTTTGACTTTCCAGTTCTTTTAAGGTTCAGTGGCAGCAGTGGCGGCAGTGCTGGAGGTGCTCATAGTAAAATGGCAAAAAGCACTCTGTGCACCTGCTGTCCCTCTGCCTGAAACCCTCTTTCTATCAGGTGCCTGTCAGCTTCTGCACTCATCTCCTCAAATCTTTGCTCCACTGCAAATCAAGTCAGGAAGTGTCTCTGATTGCCCCGTTTTAAAAG